CCTGACAGTGAGGGGAGCCTGGGGGGGTGGCGGGAAAGAGGGGAGCAATGGGGCGGGGCCCTTGGTTCTTCCCCCTACCAGGCAAACAGACCTTGCCTGGTTCCCTGGCACAGCTACCCCCCCAACATCACACACACCCATGCCCACAAGGTCTTAGCAAGAGGGGGCATGCCGGGCTGGGTGGGGATAGGCCGCTCTCATGGGTTGTCAGGGGACTAGCCTTCTGGGATGCAGAGGTGGGAAGGGTGCCCAAGGTGGGGTGGGCACCAGTACCTCACTCTGGCAGAAAGAAGGGGGAGGCCTCCACCCTAAGCATCCCTCCCAGGTGATGGGCCCAGGAGTGCCCCCTTGGCCTGGTTGGCACCAGCATTGTTCCAGGTGGCACTTCTGTTGGCATCGGTGCCAGAGCCCTGGATAAGGACTGGGGGAGTTTCCCAGAAGCTGGAGGTATGAACACCCTCTCCTGGCCACGTGTGTCCTCTGCTTCTCTTTCCTAGCTACCTTTTGGTCATGGGCATTAGATTTGGGCCTAAGGGGTTAAACACCCACCCTTGCCCAAGCACAGTGTGAGCTGCATGGTAAACCAGCCTGAGCCTGTGACCTGACAGCTGGGTCAGCCAATGAGCACCCCTGCCACACCACGTTGCTAAGGAGACCAGCCCTGGGGTGGGAGAAAGGGGGCGGGCTTAGCAGCGGGAATGGGTGGGGTGGGTAGAGAAGGAGGGCAAGGGATGGGGTAAGCCACGTGCCTGCTGGTGCCCAGCTCTCAGCCAATGGACAGCCAGAAGAGCCCCACCCATTCCCCTTTAGAAGGGACGGGATCCACTTGGGTCCAGGAGGGTGCCCACTACTGCTTAAGTGGCTTCCACTATTGCTGCCCACTTAGTTTTTGTTCCTAAGTCCTGGGGCCATGTGCCACTTGTACCATTTGTAAGGGGGCGGCAGGAGAACCAAAGGAAGCAGGGACAAGTCCAAGACCGAGTGGTCCCCAGAGAAGGAGGTGATTTAGGGAAGGCGGCCTCTCTAAGGGTACCTAGACACGGGGGTGCTGCTCGCTCAAGCCTCTGTGCAGGAGCCTGGCGCTGCAGCGAAGGTGGCAGGCATGGAGGCGGGCAGACACGGTGCAGTTCTTGTGTCCTAAAGAGGAAACCTGTGGCTCTTGATTCTCCCATACACCCTACCCCTCCCCCCCCAAAAAAAAAAAGCCTTTCCCCATCAATGGCCAGAGTGAACAGTTGCTGGAGTGTCAGGTCACTAACAAAATGACAAAATATAAGTTTCCTCGGGATCATCTGAGCTAGCCTTTAGTATTACAGATGAAGAATAGGACTCCTTTGGAAAGGAAGTGACTTGTCCAAGGTCAGGTGGCTCCTTAGTAGCCCTGCTCCCTCAGGCTAACTTGAGGGAGGGCAGACCCGGCTCCTCTGGCCTCCTCTGGAGGTGGTTTCTTGGCACAGCCTGTCTGTGTAAGTCAGGGTGCCACTGATGGAGCCCTTACTCGGCGTCCAGCTTTAGGGCACACTTGGTCTCATTTACCTCTCCCCACAACCCCAGGGTGAGCTGGAATTCTCCCATATTGTAGATGAGGAAAGAGGCTCAGAGATTAAATCATTTGCTTAAGGTCACAAAGCTAATCACCAGCAGAGTAAGGACTCAGACTCAAGCCTGGCTGATTCCAGAGCCCAGCTCTTTCCAGGCCCCACTCTGTCCCCAGTTGCTCCAGACCCACAAAATGTCAGGGCTGCAGGGCTGAGCCCTTGGGGCTTCCACTCCCACCCTTTCCTTAGACAGTTCTGGAAAGTGGAACACTGAGAGAAATAACTTGCCCAAGGTCATTCAGGAATTGAAGCCAGTCTCCCCACTTCCAGGCCAGACTCAAGCCTCAGCTGCTGTCCCCAGCCCTGCCTGCCTGCCTGAACCCGGAGACTGGTTTCTGTGCTCCGTGTGATTAGACCTGAGGGAGGACGAGGGTGGAACCTCTACCCTCCAGAGAGGGGGCTCTCCTGGAATGAGGGGGGGGGGGGGGGGGGGGAGGGGGGGGACGGGAACTTGGCCTCATGGCGGTGGGGGAGGGGCAGGGGCGATGCTTATCTGTGCGGGGCAGGAAGCACCCTCGCCAGTGACACCCCAGCAAAGGGTGGCTGCTCCTTGGCCCCATGGGGGAGGGGAGGATGTGGGGGGGGGATGGTGGGACCTGTTTCCCATTTGGCCCCTAGAAGTGGGAATCTGGGGAAGGGGAGATGAACTTTTGTTGGCTGGGGGAGGGGCGGGGAGATGTGGTGCTTGGAAGCTCTCTTATTTGCATAGTGGCTTCTAGGGTACCACATGCTTTAGAGAGGCGCTGGCCATGCCTGGTGTCCAGTGGGAATCTGAACTCCCTCATTGGCTTCTCCCAGGGCTATGAAGAGGCCCCATCACAAAGGCTGTTACCCATTTTCCCAATGACTGAGGCCAGAGCCACCAAAGTCCTCCAACCGATTCTCCTAAACCAGGACCCAGCATCCTATCGGTCCAGTACTTCCGAAGGGATGGGCAATGGACAGATGGACATCTAGGAAAGAGCCAGAAAGGCAGGGCTCCTGCACTCCCAGAGCAGAACAGAGTGACAGTGATTATGAGCGTGGACTCTGGGCCACCGGAGCAATCTGACCCTGTCCTGCACCCGGGCAGTCACTCCACCTGTCTGACTCCCAGTTCCTTATCTGTGATGGGTGATGATCATACTCCAGAGGGTATGAAAGATTAAATGGGCGTAAAGTACTTAGAAGAGTGGCATGTAGCCATCCCTCAGTGAGTGTCAGCCTGCGTCGGTGCCCCTCCCTGGACCCCGTAAAGGCTAAGCACTTAACCCCGCCCTCTGTTGACCCCACAGGAGAAGATGGGGAGCCCTGAGGATGACCTGATTGGAATCCCATTTCCGGACCACAGCAGCGAGCTCCTGAGCTGCCTGAATGAGCAGCGTCAGCTGGGCCACCTGTGTGACCTCACCATCCGGACGCAGGGCCTCGAGTACCGCACCCACAGGGCTGTGCTGGCCGCCTGCAGCCACTACTTCAAGAAGCTCTTCACTGAGGGCGGTGGCGGGGCCGTCACGGGGGCCGGGGGCGGTGGGACAGCGGCTGGGGGAGCAGGGGCTGGCGTGTGTGAGCTGGACTTTGTAGGACCAGAGGCACTGGGTGCCCTGCTCGAATTTGCCTATACGGCCACACTGACCACCAGCAGCGCCAACATGCCGGCTGTGCTCCAGGCCGCCCGGCTGCTGGAGATCCCCTGCGTCATCGCCGCCTGCATGGAGATTCTGCAAGTTAGTGGCCTGGAAGCCCCCAGCCCGGACGAGGATGACTGTGAGCGAGCCCGACAGTACCTGGAGGCTTTTGCCACCACCACGACCTCAGGCGTTCCCAATGGTGAGGACAGCCCTCCCCAGGGGCCACTCCTGCCACCGCCACCGCCACCACCTCGGCCTGCTGCCCGCCGCAGCCGCAAGCCCCGAAAAGCTTTCCTGCAAACCCAGGGGGCCCGAGCAAACCACCTAGTACCTGAGGCGCCCACAGTGCCCACCCATCCCTTGACCTACGAAGAGGAAGAGGCGCCGGGTAGAGGGGGCAGCAGTGGAGGCAGTGGGCTGGCGGACAGCTACAGCCCTCCCACAGGAGTCGCCTCACCTACTGAGGGTCCCCTAAGCTACGACACCTATGAGGGTGAAGAGGAGGAGGAGGAGCTGGTGTATCCCCCAGTCTACGGGCCAGCGCAGAGCGGCGGGCCCCCTCTCTCCCCAGAGGAGCTGGGCTCGGATGAAGATGCCATCGATCCTGACCTGATGGTCTACCTAAGCTCCCTGCACCAGGACGCCCTGGCACCAGGCCTGGATGGCCAAGATAAGCTGGTTCGAAAACGCCGCTCCCAGATGCCCCAGGAGTGCCCAGTCTGCCACAAGATAATCCACGGGGCAGGCAAGCTACCACGCCACATGAGGACCCATACTGGCGAGAAGCCCTTCGCCTGTGAGGTCTGCGGTGTCCGCTTCACCAGGTGAGTGCCAGGGGGGGAGCTGGGGGTGGAGGGGAGGCCATCCGAGTGGAGGCCGTCCCAGAGAGGTGAGGGCCTGTGTAGGTTCCTGGATTACAGGAGAGGCCAGAAGAAAGCCAAGGAGGTGGGCATGCGGAAGGCAGAGTGGGTGACGGCCCTAAAGAGCATCCTGGGACAGTCACCGAGTCGAGTTGAGGGTGGCAGCGATAGGAGTGAGACAAGGCCTGGGTCAGTGACAGGGATGAGCCTAGGGACCCATCCTGAATGCTTCCCTCGCCCCTTCCCCCCTGCCTGTCCCAGGAACGACAAGCTGAAGATCCACATGCGGAAGCACACGGGAGAGCGGCCCTACTCGTGCCCGCACTGCCCAGCCCGCTTCCTGCACAGCTACGACCTCAAGAACCACATGCACCTGCACACGGGGGACCGGCCCTATGAGTGCCACCTGTGCCACAAGGCTTTCGCCAAGGAGGACCACCTGCAGCGCCACCTCAAGGGCCAGAACTGCCTGGAGGTGCGCACCCGGAGGCGCCGCAAGGATGACGCACCACCACACTATCCACCACCTTCCACCGCCAGCCCATCCCCTGCTGGCCTCGACCTCTCCAATGGCCACCTGGACACCTTCCGCCTCTCTTTGGCTCGATTCTGGGAGCAGTCGGCCCCCACCGGGCCCCCAGTCTCCACCCCAGGGCCTCCTGATGACGAGGAGGAGGAGGGGGCACCCACCACGCCCCAGGCTGAAGGTGCCATGGAGTCCTCTTAAAGAGGAATGAGTGGCCAGGCTGGAGCAGCACAAGGGCGGGGATCCCCATGCCAAGCAGTGGGAGCAGGCAGGACAGGCGCAGCTGGGGTCAGGGGCACGGAGCCTTGCTGGCGGCAGAATCGGCCCCTTCCCCTCGGTTCCCTCATTCCAGTTCCAAGCTGAGAAGGTTTGGGGGCAGAGGCTCCCCAGATTGGGGTGATCCCCCAAGAAGTGATACATATGATATTATGTATATATTTACAGCTCTATTGTAAAGGTGGGGTCCCTGTCCCCAGCTGCTCCTGGGGAGTAGAAGCAATAATGTATTTGATTTGTGGGGTCCCACTTCGGCTATGCGGGTTTCTAGGGGGCGGGGGCTTGGGACCAAAGCCTTGCCCCCCTCCCATGCCCCTTTGGGGGTTTTGGCTGTGTAAGGGGGTGAAGGACTGCCCCTCCCTTCTGAGACCCCTCCTTCCTGGTTTCTGTTCCCTTTTCCTGGCAGTGAATTATGCAAAGGGGGTTGGCAAAGGAAGGGTAGGTGGGGGAAAGCAAGGTGGGAACTTGAAAGATTGGGGGGACTGGGCCTGTAAGGAAGGAGCCATCCCAGTCCCCCTCCGCCCTGCTGCGGCGCTGAGTCATGGGGTCCTGGAGAAGAAGGGGCGGGTGCCTGATTGGCTCGCCCGCCCCTGGGGGCAGCGGGCGGGCCCCGCCCAGCTCGGGAGCGCAGCTCCCTCCCCGGCCTCCCTCCCCTCCCGCGTCCCCGGGCAGGGAATGTCTTGTTCCCGCCGCTCCCTCCCTGGGGCCAGAGGGCAGGGCGGGCCGGGCGGCGTCGTACCCTCTCCTTCCCACCTCCTCCCCGCCCAGGTGCGAGCCGGAGCCGCCACCGCTGCCGCCCCTGACTCACGCCGCCCCCGGGCTGGCGGGACGCAGGGTGTGGGACCCGGTGAGGGGCTGGGGGAGCCGCGGTGGCGCCACCTGGCGGCCGTGCCCTGCGCGGGCCGCGGCCCTGGCTCCGTGGCGCCCCAGCTGGTGAGCGTGCGCCCCCTCGCCAAGGCGTCGGGCCGCTGGGAAGGTGGGCTGCGGTGCTGTGGGAAGGGCATCCCTTTCCCAGACCCTTGCCAGCCGGGCTTCCCAGCGGGCAGAGAATGACCCCACTCCTCTAGGATTGAGCCCACCCACCGCCCCTGTACATAGCCTCGTCTGTTGGTCTCGTGGAAATCTAGTTTCAGATTTTTAACTACCCAATTCCGCTGGGGCGGGGCACCTACCCCGACCCTTTCCTCGCTGGGTGCTGGACCCCCTTGCGGCCTGGGCTCTGCCTTGCACTATTTCCCCTCCCTGGCCTGGCGGCCCCTCCCCCTCCTTAACGGGGCAGGTTCAGGGGCCCGGTGCTCTCCCTCCCTCCCTCCCGTGCACCCCCATGCCCATTTGCACAGCTGCCCAGGTACCCCCAACAGTGGGGAGGGGTTACAGGGAGGGGTAGCGGGACCAGTCCCTGTATCTATTTAAAAGTGATGATGTAATATATTGGGGTGGGAGGGGAGGTCGGGTGCCCTGGGCCTCATCTTAGCATTTCAGGTGATGGGGGGAGCCCAGGGCTGGGGAGACCTGGGGCCCAGCCCCAGAGAGTGGGGACAATATGGCCTCCCTTCTCCCTACTTGCGGCTTTCCCGGTCAGTGCCTTAGGGGGGGAGGCATCCCCCCCTCTCCTGTTCCCTTTCCCCTACCCCCCCACCTCGGGTGTAAGCGACAGGAAGAAATAATAATAATTTAAGATTCACACTTGTGTCCACTTTTGGTTCCTTTATTTTGGGGGCGGTGGGAGGGATCAGGAGGAGAGGGAGACGGGAGAGGACCTGAGCTTTTGGAGCCTTTTTGGGAATAAAGAATTTCTCAGGTGGTCAGTGGGGCCCAGCTGGCATGGGAGTGCCGACAGGCTGATGGACTTCAGGCAGGAGCTTCTGAGCCTGATTTTCTGCTGAGGGCTCCTCCTCATCCAGGTCACTAGGGAAGAGAGCCGCAGGGCAGCCCTGTCACCCGTGTCCTGCCCCCTGCCCCGTCTGTTCAGAGCCTTCTCTGGTTGTTCACCAGCCACCCCTGTGCCCATGAGGCACACTAGCCCATGGCTTAGACATCCGACTTTAGGCTGGTGCCGAGGGACAGGTGGACAGTGATCTGGCAGAGGCCACCTGGCCAGTAAGGGTGGAACCACTGGTGACCTCAGGATCACCCCTGCTCAAGGCCCAGCTGCCCCCTTGCTGATCCAGCTTTTCACTTTCCGGGGACCTCTGAAAGGAAGCTTTGCCTCCCCTTCAGCTTCTCGCGACCTCCAGCCACCATCCGCGCTGGAATGTGCCCACAGGACACTTTTCTTTGCATTCCACCCAAGTGGGGGCAGCTTAGCCTTCTCAAACCCAGCTGGCCCACAGTGTTTTTTGTAAAGCCCCTGGCTGTCACAGCAGCTCTATCACTGGCTCTGTGACAGCCAGGCCTCCCAGACACCTCTAGCATGCATCCAGAATGTCAGCTCTGGACTTGGGCTGAGTTTGTGGTCCAGCAGACTCAGAGGAGGACCCAATCCTGTGACTTTCAATCCTGAACCTCCTTGGCCTTGACAACCTTCACCTCTGCTCTCCGACAGTCCTCCCCAGCCTTGACCACTCACTAGGTAGGTCCAGAATTCTGCCTGGCTCTTGGCCACTCTGAGCGCTCCTGTCCAGCCAGCTCTCCCCCTCCCCCTGCCCTGCTCTAGCATCTCACCAAGACGGAGCTCCTCACCTTCCCCAAGTTCAGTTGCCATCTTGTTCTTCCCCTAACCTGCCCAGAGGCAGCCCTCAACCCTTGAATCCACATTTGTCAGAGAAAACTCATGACTAAGAACACGGCCGTCATTACAGGTCATGGTTTTCAGAATCACCTGGAAATCCCTGGGCCTCCGGGTCACCTCTTTGCATACTCCCCATTGCAGATACTTCAGTCTCCACCGCCCGCTCCTGAACCCTCTCCTCCACTCAGCCACCTCACTGCTCCCAGCAGCTGCCCTTGCCTCCCACTCCCCAGAGAAGAGCAAGGCCCCCAGGCTGGAGCAGGCTCAGTTCTGCTCAGAGGGACTTCCGCTCCTCACTCCTTTCCGAGGCCACATCCTCCACCTGGCCTAAACCCCATCCCTCCTCTTCCATGCAGTCTCTCTCTCCTCCTTCCTGAATGTTCAGTCTCGCTGTCCCTGCATAGAGAAAGAAATCTTCCTTTTTATTCCCCTCCGGTACTGGAATTGACCCTGGGATCGCAGGACACATCCCAGTCCTTTCTCCTTTTTTACTTTTTGTTGGTTTTGAGACAGCGTCTTGCTAAGTTGCTTTTGGCTGGCCTCACACTTTCCATCCTCCTGCCTCAGCCTCCCAAGTACCTGGGATTACAGGTGTGTGCCATCTTGCCCAGCAGGCATCCTGCTTTTAACTACAACATTTATGTGAAAGGAATCATTTGACTTCTGGCAGATGTGAGGCAGGAAGCACACACCCCACCTCTGAGTCCTTTCTGTCGGTCACCCCTCAATCCATCATGATCGATTTGGCCTTCTTAGCGCCGGGGAAAAGTGTTCCCGCCAGGTCAGGGGATGTGGTCCGAGGTGGAGGGCTTGCCTGGCATGTGTGAGGCCCAGGGTTCAATCCCCAGGACTGGGGGGGGTCCCACCCGCCACACTAGTGGTTTCTCCACTGTCATTCAGTGGCCAGTCCTGGCCCTCCTGGGTCACCTCAGGGCCTTCACAGGCTGGCTCTCCTGCTTTCTTGAGCACCTCCCTCTTAGGTTTGTGATTGAGCCCTTAGGATTCTGTCCCTGTCCCCTTGTCTCCTGCCATGCCTTCTGGATAATCTAACTCGATCTCTCTTAGTCTCTAAATCAACAAGCCCAGGGGAAACGCCCCCAGCCCAGAGCCCTGCCCCTTTCAGCTGTCCCCCGGGCATCCCCAGCTGCGTGCCCCACAGACACCCCACAGATCTCAAACTGGGCCAGTCCTCTTTCTCCAGATCCTCTTTCTCCTCCTGCCCTAAAACCTGCCCTGTCCCAAGCATAGATCCTGGTCATTCTCAGCACCTTTGGTCCTGAGGCCGTCAGCAGCTTCTGGACTGAGTCAGCCTCCTCCCCAGACTCGCCTGCTTGGTCTCCGGTCTTAAAGGACAAATATGAATCCTTCATTTTCCAACCTAAGATCTTTTTTTTTTTTTTTTTGGCACCGAGGATTGACCCCAGGGCACTCGACCCCTGAGCCACACCCCCAGCCTCTTTTTGTATTTTATTTAGAGACAGGGTCTTGCTGAGTTGCGGGGCTGGCTTTGAACGGGCGATCCTCCTGCCTCAGCCTCCCCAGCTGCTGGGGTTGCCGGCTCAGGCCACCACACCCGGCCCAACTTAAGTGGCTAGCGAGGCCCTTGGCCATGTGGCCACCCCTGGTGGACTGCCATTCTCGTTCTCTGATGTCTGCAGCCAGACAAACCACCCCCCCTTCCCGCCTGAAGCCTGGATTAATATGTCCCCCTGTTCCAATAGAGTGTCACTCCTTTATCAGGTGCTGTCCCACAGGAGTGCTGACCCCAGCAGGCACCCAGTGAACCTGAATTCCTCTTCCTCCCCTCATCTCCGCCTCCAGCCCAGCAGAGTGCAGGCACTCAGGAAGCCCTGTGTAAATGTGACCGCCTTGCTTAGGCGTCCAGTGGCCAGGTGCCAGTCCTTCCCCCGGCTCACCTGGACTCCGAGGTGGACTCGTCTAAGAAGTCCTCGCCCAGCACCTCCGGGACCTGTTGCTGCACCATGGGCTTCTGCTCCAGGGCCCTTCCACGGGCGGCAGCCAGCCACAGCCGGGGGCTCTCCTCGTCACTGGAGTCCCTGGAAAAGCCTCCCGTCTCAATGTCCCACCGACATTCTGGGGGACGGGTGGCTCCTCCCAGTGCTCCCACAGACTCCAGCCCCCATCCCTGAAAGACTCACAGCTCCCAGTCCAGGCCCTCCTGGGCGGAGAGCGGGGCCGCGCACACCGAGCAGGTGTCGCTCAGAAGACGGAAGCAAGTGTGGCAGTAGAGACCTGGGGGGGTGAACTTGAACTTGCCCCTCCCCTCCCCTCGCTCCCCGATTCCAGCCCCTGCCTCCCCTGCCCCACTCCTGAGGGACTGTCCTTGTCAAGTGTACACAACTGGGGCACAGGACTCCTGTTCCTCCGGGGAGCGTCGGGGAGCGTGGAGGAAATGAGCTCTATGGAAATGAGGTCATGCAGAGCAATGAGGGGGGTACAGACGGTGAGGGTCCAGAGAAGTCCATGAAAAAGGACCAGAGTTGATTGTCACAGGCAAACCAGGGAAGTCCCACCCAGCAGGGAGCGGCACACTACCCAGGGGTCTCACCTTTACAGCCCGGGGTACCGCAGTACACAAAGTTCTCCGTGTCCCCTTCATCTTGGGTCTGCCCACAGCCCAGGCAGCGGGCCTCATGCAGCTGAAATTGGCTGACGAAAACACTCAGCCATGGGCACCTGAGGAGAGGTCAGGGACAGTGGACCAGCCAGCCTAACCCTCCCCACACCAGTACTGACCTCCAGGTGATGGGGAGGATTTCCTGCAGCCTAACCTTCATCCCTCCAACTGTAGGGACAGCTTCACTACTGCCCTCTTCTTCCTCCCTTCACTCCCCAGTCCTGGAAATCCTCGTCCCTAATTGTCCCTCTTTAACCAAACCTCTTGCTACTGGGGGAGGACAGTGATCCATTCTGACCTCTGGCTCTTTTTCTGTTCACTCTCGGCACATCCCTATAGGGAAGCAGGGTGGGCTTACCGGATGGCCAGCACTTGGAGGACACTCATGTGGCCCTGGTCAGCTGCCCGCCGCCTCACCGCTCGTTGCAGGGCGACCAACAGGTTGGTTCGGCGATTTAGAAGTATGTGATAGAGGTAGGTGATTCTTTCCTGGTGGTGGAGGTCAGGGATGGATTCCCATCTGATCTTGTTTCATCTGCTTGGCGCGCCCTCGCACCCATTCCCACTCCCCATCTTTCTTTTCCTTTTGTCCCACTCCTACGAATTCCTGTGGGCTTGGGTCAAATAAATGCCTCTTCCTCTGAGAAGCCCTCTGGACTTCCCCAGGGGGATTCCCAGTCTCTCCTGTGGACCCCACAGCTCTTTGTTCATTTCTTAACAAAGGTTCTTTTTAAGTTATAGAGTCTGGAGAAGCCGGCCTGGCCTGCCTTGACGCTGGTTCCAACCTGCTTCGCTGTGGCATCCTTGTAGCTCACCCAGTGACTGGCACACAGTAGATGCTCAGTAAATAATTAGTGAATGCGTGGACAAATGGCAAGATTCCGTCCAAACCTCAGCATACCAACACTCTTCCCGTCTCCCATCAATTTTGGTTGTTTTGTTTTGTTTTCTGTACTAGATATTGGACCCAGGGCCTCTCTACCCTACATCCTCAGCCCTTTGATTTTTAAATCTTATTTTGAGACAGTGTCTTGCTAAGTTGCTGAGGCTGGCCTTACATTTGTGATCCTCCTACCTCAGCCAACTAAGTAGCTGGGATTACAGGTGTGCGCCTGCGCTAGCTGTTTTTGTTTTCTGCAGGACTGGGTTTTGAACCCAGGGGTGTTCTGCCACTGAGCTGCCCCTATAGCCCTGCATATTTTTTACTGTGTGCCAGGGTCTTGCCAAATTGTCCAGGTGGCCTCTAACTTGCGATCCTCCTCGCCCAGCCTCCCAAGTCACTGGGATTACAGGCAGGTGCCAACACGGCCAAACCCCGCCCCCCCCCCCCGGTTTTACCAAAACTTTGGAGGCGAGCTCTGTCTCGGGAAGCCGTGCCCCCGGAGGCAGCGTCTCCCCAGCCCCATCTGTGGTCCAGAGACCTCCAGTCCAGCCATTCATTGGCTTTGGGGTTCAGCCAGAGGGAAGAGGACCCCAACACCAGGACAGCCGCTGGCTTAGCACCCTGAGGAGGAAACAGGGACTGGCCTCCGCTGCGGCCCCTCACCTGCTCCCGGGAGGGATAGTAGGAGGCGCAGATGACCCTCCGCAGCCGGCTGACGTAGCTACCAAACAGGGTGACGAAAAAGCACAGGCCGTACGCGGCACCTGGGAGCACAGCAGGGTGGACGGGCCGCTGTGGCACCAGGCGCCAGCCACACCCCGCCCCCGCCCTGGGGAGTGCTGGGTACCGATGACCAGATAGCCGGTGCTGTCCGGTTCCGAGGGGCGCAGGAGGCAGCGCCGAGACAGGATGCTGATGTTGCCCTGTTGAAGGACGTCAAACGCCGACACCAGGTCGCGGTAAATGCTCCCCGCGTAGCCAGTCCCTTCCACGGTTAGAGACACTAACACAGGGCCTGGCACAAAGGCACTGTGTGAGGGCCACTCCTGGCACAGGCTGTCTACTGGGTGGAGAGGGGTACGACTGTGAACCCCTGCAGCCGTGCCGCTCAGGCCTGGCCTGAACCCTCGGCCATTTCTTCTTTTCCCTGCTACCAGGAATTGATGTGCCTCGCTACTGAGCTACGGCCCGGACCTTTCTATCTTTTATGTTGAGTCTGGGTCTCACTAAGTTGCTGAGGCTGGCCTCCAACTTGTGATCCTCCTGCCTCAGCCTCCTGAGCCACTGAGATCACAGGCCTGTGCCACCACTGCAGCTGGTACGTTCTCAGTCAGTGGCCTTGTAGGCAATCAGCGTACACACGGTGGGTCTCATGTCCTACTTCAGTGACCCAGAGAGCCATTGTCATTCCATTAATCAGATGAAGCTTTGAGAGCTTAAGCAATTTGTGTGAAGCCACTGCCTAAAAACGGGACAGGGCTGGGATTTGAACCCAGGCCAGGGTGACGTGGAGCTTGTGTCTCTAGCTGCTCTGTCGTGTTATGACCTCAGCCTGGATACAGGGGTCACAGGGCAGAGGTTGGGACTGGAGGAGCATGAGTAGCACAGACACGGGGACATGCAGGTCCCCCCTGGGGACAGAGAGTGAGCCAGGGGAGAAGGTCCAAGGAGGAGCAGGAAGCCTCCGAGGGCGGCATCGGGAGGGCGCGGGGCTCACTGCGGGCCACGATCTCCCCTTGCAGCTGGTACCGCGCCAGGTCGAGCACCCAGAAGACGGCGTAGTCCAGCGAGACGAGCAGCAGCGCCAGGAGCAGGTGACGGGTGAGGTTCAGCATCTCCAGGACGTAGAACACCCGCTCCCACCGCGACAGGAAGATGGAGCCTGCGGCAGGCGGCGGGCACAGGAGGATCCCTGGTCCCCCTCAGCAGACCCCAGCCCTGACCCGAGGTCCCAGGCACAGGTGGGGCGTGGGCTGGGCGTGGGAGGGGACCTAACGGAGGGGACACAACTCAGGGTCTAATTTCAGACCGAGAGGGACAGGCACTTGCCCTTGGGGTCCCCCAGGCTGAGAGGGAAAGGCGGCCACCCTGGAGGATGCCACGGAGAGGGAAAGCGGGTGCTTCTGGGCGCAGGGAGGCAAGGAGGCTGGTCAGGGAGCGAGGAGGTCCTGCCGAGAGGACCTTCCTGCGAGGTGGGCCTCCCTCAGTCCTGGCCTCCCCCTCTCCCGTCCTCAGGCCCTCACCTGGCTGGATGTAGCAGGTGGCCTCGTGGGCGCTGAGCGGGAGCACCGTGGGCAGCCCCGCCACGGCGCGGGCAGCCTCCATGCGCAGAAAGTGGCCGGTGATGTAGACGTTGTCGAAATCGTCCCGGTTCAGGTAAGCGTAGCGGTAAAACAGGGCTCTGGAGGAGGCCGGTGAAGCCCCTCAGCACCTGAGCGGCCCCGCTCCCGTCCCCTGGCCCTCAGCCCGCGGCAGGGCCTCACTGGAGGTAGAGGAGCACCAGCAGCAGGGGCAGGGTGTAGCCCATCAGGGCCAGCACCTCCCGGGCTCGGAGCAGCTTCATGCCGACGGCCTCCTGGAGGTCCAGGGCCACCTGGGACAGACTCCGAGAGGCGTTGAGGTCCACGGAGAAGTGGTGGGTGGCCGTCACGTTGAACTCAAACTCCCGACGCACGCGGTTGATCATCTTCTTCACAGCTGGGCCCAGGACCAGGGAGGTGTCAGCAGGGACAGGTGGGGGGAGGCAGAGCTACACGGGGCAGCGGCTCCAGGGTCCAGAGAGCAGCCAGAACTTCGGGGGCTGGGCCTCCAGGGGGCTGAGCCTCTACTCAGGTGCGCTGAGCGGTAGGCACCAGACAGTCAGCTCCATCACCAATGATCCCGTGGCCTGAGCTTGGGGCATGTGACCCTGACCCTGTCCCAGCCCCTGCTCTTACAGCCCCCAGTGTCCCAATCTGGGCAGCGTGGACAGCGGCCTGGGTGACCCCTCCAGGGCCTTTCCTGCTCTTGCATTTCGACTATGGACTGGGAGATGGGACCGGAAGTGGCCGCACCTGGAAGAGGAGGGCTCGCATGCGGCAGGCGCTGGGGGTCACTCACGGGTGCCGATGGTCTTGCGCAGGAAGGGCTGGATGTAGTTGGGGAGGACGCAGAACACCTGGACCACTGGGGGGCGGGATGGCTGAGCATCAAGAGGAGGGACAGAGGCAGCTGCCCGCCAGCCTGAAGGGACCCTCCTCACAGGGCCCTTGGGCTTCCCCTCCTACTGATCAGCCTCCACACTTGTTCAAACCCTGTAGCCTCACCCCGTGGTCCCCTGCCCTAATGTTGGTCCTATATCAAGCCCAGTATTTTTTTTTTTTTTTTTGGTATCGGGGATTGAACCCAGGGTGCTTAACCCCTGAGCCTATCCTCAGCCTTTTTATATTTTATTTAGAGACAGGGTCTCCCTGATTTCTTGGGGCCTTGCTAAGTTGCTGAGGCTGGCTTGGAACTCAAGATCCTCCGGCCTCAGCCTCCCGAGCTGCTGCAGTGTGCCACGGTGCCCAACATCTTATTGGTTCCATCTTCCTTCCCCCCTACTGGTCGTCCTGGGCCACCCTCCTCCTGGACCCTAGAGTTCCCATCCCACCCCACCCCTGTTCCCTCTTCCCCGGGGAGCCCTGTTCCTCACGGCTGGCCAGTCCACAGAGCACCAGTTTGAAGGGCGTGAGCACGTAGCACAGGTGGTAGGCTTGTGGTATGGCCTTCATGCAGTTGTCTTTCCCTTCGTCAAACACCCGCGCACACTTCTGGTAAGGGTTGCCCAGCTCCGAGTTGCACACGTCCCCAATGTGGAGGAGCCAATACCACACGTTCCGCAGGGCCCTGGCTGGGGGCAGTGTGGGGCTGGCACCCAGGCAGAGTCCCACAGCTGCTTCTAAGGAATTTGCGGGACAAAGCAACCAAGCAGCACCCAAAGTTGGAGAGGCCTGCGTTCAGGGGCCTGGCTGTGCTGTGTCCAGTAAGTAGTAGCCAGCACCCAGGGGGCCCAAGCAGGTCTGGACAGGCTGAGAGTGCAGAGTCTAGGTGCACTTTGACCTCCAAAGCCAGGTATGCTGAAGTGCTCACCTACGTGTTTCACACCGTCCATGATCGCCCAGAAAAACTTGCGGACCCGGTCGGCCACCACTTTGGCCCTCTGGGCTATAGCTTTAATCTTGCTTAGAGCACCTGAGGGACAAAGGACAGAGCACTGCGGGGTCACCTCCTCCTGCAGGGACTGGTTCTCGCCATTGCCCGGGGGCAGAGAGGAGATAGGGGGCTGGGAGGGTTCAGGGAGACCCCTGTCCAGGCCCATCTAGCTCTAAGGCTAGACCACTGTATCAGCAGAGAGCTGAGGGGACCCCAGGACGGAGCTGGGGGACCTGGCCGGGAGTCGGGCGGGGCTTACTGACGAGGGGCTGCTTGGCTCGCTCCAGCGCTTGCACAGTCTGGTTCAGGGCCAGCTCTGCCCCGCAGGCCACCGCCTCGCTGGCCCTGGTGAAGTTGCGCAGGGTGTTGGCACAAGGGCCCTGGAGCACCAGCCCGAAGGCGGCCAGCAACAGCAATGTCTGTCCTTGTTCTGGGAGAAAGCGCCATCACAGCCAGGACCCCACCCGAGGCGAGGGAAGTCCCTTCCTAAGGCCTCAGGATACCCCGAGCCCCCTCCCTGTCCCCTCCCGGCTGCCCCCCTGCCTGCCCTGGCGCCGGGCTCACTGGAGAAGGCCTGGGGCAGCATCAGGAAGACGGTGGTGCGGACCTGGCGCGAGAAGCCCAGGCCCAGGCCCAGGAAGGCGGCCAAAGTGACGGTGCCCACCAGGCAGCCCCAGGGGCTGTGCCCCTCCACCAGGAGCTCCAGGAGCCCGTAGGCCGTGGCCAAGGACAAGCCCAGGGCGAAGGCCCCAAGGCTTTGGACCAGAGCCCGCGCCCTGCCAGGCTCCTTGGCCCCCAGGGGCAGCGCCGCGTCCTCCATGTCTTGGGCTGTGTCCGGGCTCGGCCCCGGGTTCCAGGCCTGTTCTAAGGTTCTGGAACCTGTGTCCGGAACCCCTCCCAGTTCCGGGGAGCCGAGCCTCTGACCTCCTTCCCCACAGACTGGGACGCAGCTGTGCTGAGGCAGGAGGCAGGGCCTCTCCCCTCTCACGGGGAGTCTGAGGAGGTCGAAGGCGACTTCTGGGATGGGGTTCGGGGTCCCCCAGAGCCGACTGATGGCCATGAAACGCCAGCCAAATGGAGCAGCAGGACGGAGGACACTGCCCCATACCAGTGAGCCGGTCACCTGCGCCTTCCCCGAACCCCGGCCGGCCTCACCCCGTCCCCGGGGCTCCTCCATGTCCCCACCCCCTCACCCAGGCCCCAGCCCTGTCCTCCTCCCCTTCCCTCCTGCCCCATTTCTCCAGGGTCCCTATACACCTCCAGTGTCCCCGAGGGTCCCACCGCCACCCCCCAGCTCCCCCAGCCTCTCCCCTGCAAGCCCCGCCCCAGGAAGCCCACCCAGGTCGGGGGAGCTGAGAGCTGCACCCCGCACCTCCCAGCTGTGCACCGGCTGCTGAGCTGGGGGCTGCCCGCCCCCTGTCACCAGTTCCTGTGGCGCCTGCCCGGCCAGTTTCCGGTCACTGCTTTCCTGCTGGGAGCAGGCACTGGGGGACTCTTGGCCATAGGTGAGGGTGGAGGCAGAAGGTCAGGGGGTGGACAGGACTGGACCAGGACTGTCGGTTGACCTTGGACTTGACCCCTGCCCTAGGCCTCTTCCAGCTCCTGGTGAACCCCATGGACATCTACGAGGAACAGAAGATGGTGGCCATCTACGGCTTGGTGGGTCAGTGCTTGCAGGGGCGCTTGCAGCCGCCCAGTCTTGGTTGCTGGGAAGGAATCAGAGCTTGGTTCCTCTGTGGCGTCAGCCTCCTCTTGGCCTCCAGGGGGAGGTCCCGAGGGAAGAGGCCCAACATAAGAAGGCACCTTCCTGTCCTGGGCCTTAGGGAGACCCCACAGCGGGAGGGACTCCCGACTGCCACGTGTGATAGTGCAAACCCCATCTCCCTCCTCACCCCCCTCTCTTCTGAGCTCCTGGCCTTTCCTTCTCCTCCTGAGAAGATGGTCCACTCGTTCATTCAGCATCACTGAGCGTCTGCGAGGCTGAGCCGCGGGCAGGCCGGCAGGCGCCCACTGATTCCAGTGGAGAGAGTGACAATCAGCGAGCGATAAACAGAAGGGCACTCCTGGGGGGGGGGTCGAGCTTGTGGCAGAGCGTTAGCCTAAGGTGAGCGAAGCCCTGGGTTCAGTCCTAGGACGGCAAACAGCAGAAGAGGAAAGAAATCAAAGAAAGAAAGAGAGCATTTCTGTCTTTTTTTTTTTAACATTTATTTATTTATGTATCTTTAGCTTTAGGCGGACACACTATTTTGATTTTATGTGGTGCTGAGGATCGAACCCAGTGCCTCACGCCTGCTAGGCGAGCGCCTACCATGAGCCCCAGCCCCAGCCCCAAGAGAGCATTTCTGATGGTGACAAATGGCATGAACTGAGGAATGTGACAGAAAGGGGCTGAAGGGCGGTTAGGGAAGGCAAGTCAGAGAGGGTGACCCCTGACACACAGTGGTGCTGGGGACAGAGGGAGGTAGAGGGACACGCGCCAGGCAGCTCTCTGGCCCTGAAGGTGACATCGGAATGCTGGACTGCAAGAACCGAAAACCCACCTAAAAGTGGTCTAACCATAGAGGAAGTTTATTATCTCACTTAACGAAGAGGTTCAAGGTACGGTGGTTTTGGAGCGTGCATAATTAAACAGCTCAGCAACCCCATCAAAGAGCCAGGCTCCTGGGCTGGGGATGTGGCTCAGGGGTCGAATGCTAACCTAGCATGCATCGAGGCCCAGGTTCAATCCCCAGTACCACAGACAGCAACAGAAACAGACCCAGGGTCCTTCTCTCTTTTCTCTGTTGATCTTAATCCATCCATCACTCCTCTTCAGGTTACAAAATGGCTGCAGCAACTCCAGGCATCATCACATTGCCATACGAAAGACCAGAAAAGAGAGGAAGGAGTTTCCCTTTCTTACATCCCTTTTATGGAAGTAGGAAAATTTCCCTTTAATCTCCTTGGCAGGCTTTCTCTCACATCTCTTTGATCAGTACAAGGCACACCCTTTCCTGAACCTGTCCTATGCAAGAGGAATGGAGTTAGCAGTGCCACCAATTTATTGAAAGAATAAACGAGAATCTTTGGTCAGAAGGCCAAGACCAAGACCACAGAACAAATTACTACATTGTGTGTGTGTGTGTGTGTGTGTGTGTGTTACCAGGGATTGAACCTAGGGGCCCTCAACCACTGAACCACATCCCAAGCCCTTTTTATTTCTTATTTTGAGACAGCGACTCACTAAGCTATTTTATGGCCTCACTAAGTTGCTGAGGCTGGCCTCCAATTTGCCATCCTCCTGTCTCAGCCTTCCAAGTCACTAGGATTACAGGCATGCGCCCCTGCACTGGACAAAAACCACTTTTCCGCTGACCACCGTGTTCACACATGTTCTATAATGACCTTTCCCACAGACCCTTAGCTTTCCAGGTACTTTCTTGGGGAAGACCCAGTCCTGCTCCAACATTCATGCTTTATTTTTAGGGATTAAGCAGTCCAGTCTTCTCTGCATCAGGATTTCAAGGTCACACCCATTCTCCAGTGTCCCCCCTCCCCCCCCCTCAGCCTGGCCCACTGCGGGTGGGTGGGGGGCTGCGGTGAGGAGGGGCTTGGCTGCTCTTTCACTTTTTTCTCCGCTTCCTTCCCTTGCTGGTTCTTCTGATGTCAGAAAGCGGATTAGAAGAATCAGAGGAAAGGGGACAAAGTCTGAAGTCACCAGGGCTGATACAATTCCTCCACCGGGGCCCTCCGAGTGGCAGGCAGCCCCGGCTTCTCAGAGCCCATTTATGGTCTCTTTGGAGGCTCTGTGTGTAGCTGAGCGGCCCAGTTTCCTGCAGAGGGCGGTTCTATCTGGATAAGCTCCAAGGAAGCCCCCTTCGCCTCCTTCCTTAGGGGTCCTCCCCCCCAGGCTGCCTCCTGCTTGCAGGGCCACACGGGTGGCTCCAGGATGCCATCTTCCAACGTGTGTTGGAGGCAATGCTCACCCCCTTGCCTGCCGAATGAGACAGCGGGCACCGTGTCTGCCCTCTCCCTGCCCTGGGCTCTCCACTGAGGCCCATGTGACACCCCTTCTCTCCATAGATGATTCCTGCCCATGCCAACCACTCTACTCTTTGAGAAAACTCACATTTCTGGTCTTTTTATATAAATTAGCTGGTGGGGGAAGAAAAGACTCATCTTGCTCTTTTTTTTTTTTTTTTTTTTGGTACTAGGGATTGAACCTAGGGCTGATTGACCACTGAGCCACATCCCCAGCCCTGTTTTTACACCTTTATTTTTATTTATTTCTATGTGGTGCTGGGGATCGAACCCAGTGCCTCATGCGTGCTAGGCTGCTAGGCGAGCGCTCTGCCCCTGAGCCACAACATCACCACCCTCCCCCCGCAAATTTAATTTAGAGACAGGCTCTTTCTGTGTTGCTTAGGGCCTCGCTAAATTGCTGAGGCTGGCTTTGAACTCACCATCCTCCTGCCTCAGCCTCCCAGCCCCTGGGATTAGGTGGGCATCACGGTGCCCTGCCTTGGTTTTTCTCTTTTGATAAACCTAAAAAAGATACCAAAAAGCTCCACGGGGCTTTTTTTGTTGAAACACAGGGCAACTATTTGTCAACTATTGTCCTCAGCTGGCGTCTCTGGCCACAAGACCAGGAGCACAGGACAAGTCCCTTTCAATGTCCCGTAATACCGTGATTGGTTGAGACAGGTCCAGACTTACCCCCCAGGGGCCAGGGCAGGACCAGGCCGCTGCCCTTGAACAAAACCCAAGCTGTGTTAGCAAGAGAGAAGGCAGGAAAAGTGCAGGGTGGCACCCGCTGGGCTTTGCCACAAACCTGTATGACTAGGTGGGGCCGGCACTGAGGAAGAGGGGAGGGGCGATGCCGGCCCGGCAGCCAGGGCACCTGAGAGGAGCAATGGCAGCCAGGTGGGTGGACACGGCGGGCGACGGCCGAGGAGCATGAGATCACTTCCGAAGGTGGGCAGGGGCCCGAGTGCCAAGATCTAGGGGCCTTCCCTGTCCAAGAGTCTGGGCTTTACCCACCAGCAGGGAAGAAAATCACGGATGATTCCAGGCCGGACGGTTAGGATCCGATTTATGCTTTTTTTTTTTTTTAACAGGATCATTCTAGAACAGCTTTGTGAAAATGGAAGGGTAAAGCAGCAAGAGGGGAAGAGGAAGACCAGTCAGAAGGGACCTAGTCAGCCAGGGACTGGGGCGGGTGCTCAGAGGTAGAGCACCTGGTCCGGGAAGTTCCAGGTCATGGGTTTGATCCCTGGCGCCACCACAACAAGGAAGTTTCTGGTCCCTGTGAGACGTCTTGGGGACCCTGAGAGGACAGTGGAGATGGAACAAGGACGTCTAAGGGCTTGGGCTTTGCTTTGACCACCACTGAGCACACCCTGCCAAGGGCACAGGAACCTTCTAGCGTCCTTGACCAGCCTAAGCTGGGCCTTGGGCCTGGAATGTCATCTGGGCCTGTGGACAACACTTACTCATCCCCAGGCCCCGATGACACGTCCTCTCCTTTGTCCACCCCCGGCCCCACCCCTCCCTGCAGAAGTGTCCCGCCCTCCTTGGCTCCTGGCTCAGAGCCTGGGAGTCATTTGTTGACTTGAGGTCTCCTCCCTGGGTCATGAGCTTCGGCAGCTCACTGTCTCCTTGAGACCACAGTGAGACGCAGGTGACACTGCTGAAACCCACCAGGACGGGTAGGGCACGGGAAGGAGGGCTCCCGGAGGGCAGAGACCGAGTGCTGTAGGTGTGGAGGGGGGCCCTGCCCTCTCTCCATCACTGAGCACGAGGGCCTTTTCCAGAATTTTCCTCTTGTCCTCTGCTCTTTCGTCACTTAGAGTAAGTGTGACTCCAGTGTTTCCCTCCCTGACACACACAGGCACGCCCAGACACACGCCCGTCAGGCAGCGACCATGACGTTTCTGTCTCTAGCCCCCTCTCCCTGCCCTTCCAGAGACGGGCACTCTGTAAATGGCTGTTGAATGAATGAGTGGCCCAGAAGGGCCATCCGAGCCAGTGGGGGCCAGGGCAGGATGGTGGCCAGTTCAGAAGGGAGTTGGGACAGGTAGGGGATCTGGTAAACGTGGCGGGCAAGGCGGCTTCCTCACCCTGCCTCAACATCCCCTGGGCTCTCCTGACAGGCTTGGGAGCCCTAGGCTGGGGGACGTCCCCTCACGTCCGCTGTGCCAGCCTCCTGCTAGTGCCCAAGATGCTGGGCAAAGAGGGCAGGCTGTTCATCCTGGGATACGCCTTGGCTGCTATCTACGCAGGTGAGGGGTGTTCCTGAGCGCCAGTTAGTGACACTGGGTGGAACGTCCAATGGGGACCGGGCCTGGTGACAGAGAAAAGAGAGGGGGGTGGTTCTAATCTGAGCTGTGGCAGCTCACAGGGTGTCCCTAACCCCCCACCCCCGGACCTCCCTAGTTGACCAGGAGAAAGAGTCAAGGCTTCTTGGCCCGTCACTGCACAGTGCCAGGAGGGGGTTGCTCCACACAGAGGAGCTAGGGATGCGTTTGAGAAAGTCCTGGCCCCACAGGGAAGTGACCGACGGGGCCTCTTCCTCCAGGGCCAGTGGCCAATCTGCAGCACAACCTCAATGAAGTGATAGCATCTCTGGGCTGCACCGTGGAGCATCAGATCAAGAACGCCCGCGCGGCCTGGCGCATCTCCACAGCCCCCCTGCGAGCAGTGTTCAAGGACCTACTGGTCAGGACTCTGCACAGACGAGGCCGGGGGGTCCCTTTCCCTGTGGCCTGGGTTTGCAGTTTCCTAGTGGGGATACGGCGAGTTTCTGGGGTTTTGTTTGTTGTTGTTTTTTTTTCGGAACTGTCCCCAAACATTGCAGAATATGCCCAGACCTGCTGAGTACAGTGACACCCACCTGTAATCCCAGAGACTCAGGAGGCTGAGGCAGGAGGATCACAAGCCTGAACTCTACCTGGGCCGCTTAGTGAGACCCTGTCTCAAAATAAAAAAAATGAAAGGGGCTGGGGATGTAGCTCAGTGACAAGCACCCGGGGTTCAGTCCCAGTACCATTCCCACGCACATAAGGAAAATGCCCCGTCCTGGGGCTCCGAGTTCCAGGAAACCCCTGCCCCTTGTTAGGACATGCCCCACGGATCTTTCCAAATACCTGAGTGGGCCGAGCTCCGAGTAGATGAACCAGAATGTTGGGAATGGCGCTTGGGCTTTGAAGAGCGGGCTTTGAAGTGTTGAAGAGAAGGGACGTTGGGGAGATGGGACCCCAGGGCTGGGCAGTTGGGGATTCAGATGGCATGATGATCTGAGAGGTCAGGGCTGAGGGGAGAAGTCCAAGGACCAGTAAGGATGTGGAATGGGAAGCCTGAGAGGGACTGGAGGCCTGGGAGGTCAGTGGGCAGCTGAGGAGAGGGGAGGCCCCGGGGCCGCTGGGAGGAGAGAGGCCGGGCCATGGGCTAGCTCCCTGTAGGCCCGAGTGTGACCTGGTGACGAAAGGTTGGGGAGCAGAAGCCCCGGACCCCACGCCTCCTGCTTTCCTCCCTCCAACCCCAGAGCAGCAGAGCATCGTTGAAAGCAGAAACGAAGAACATTTCCACCTCCTTTGAGGACCTGGATGCCCAGGTGAATAGTGAGGCTGGCTTCGTTCCTGAGGATGCCGCGGACTCGGAAGAAGCAGCCCAAGGTGCCCAGGCCCGCGGGGCCCCACGCTCCAGACTCCACGTCTCCACCCAGAAGATGTATGAGCTCAAGACCAAGCTGCGCTGCTCCTGTGAGGGAGCCCCGGGGAGCACAGGGAGGGGCAGGCCACGCCGAGGGCCAGGTCAGGGCGTGGGGACCTCAGACACCGCCACCCCTTCCTGCAGATGTGGTGAACCGGGCCATACTCAGCTGCCATCGCTGGTTTGACCAAAAGCATCAGGAGTGCATGCGGCGAATCTCAGTCCCGCTCCTCAACCACTTGTTCTGCCTGCCCATGAAGTTCAAGTTCTTCTGTGACATTGCCAAGGGTCAGCACGGGAGAGCAGGGTGGGGAGGCGAGTCCTGGGGACCTCCGTAGGTGTGAGGCAGGAAAGCAATCATGTGGAGAGGGACCCACCAGCTCTGTGACCCCAGTGACTTACAGCCAAGCCCTGCTTTGCCTCTTCATCTGAAAGATCCACGTTATAGTGCTCATTGTTTTTTGCACCAGGTGTAACCACTGAGCCACATCCCCAGCCCTTTATCGTATTTTATTTAGAGACAGGGTCTCTCTGAGCTGCTTAGGGCTCAGTTGCTGAGGCTGGCTTTGAACTCACCATCCTCCTGCCTCAGCCTCTCACGCTGCTGGGATTACAGGTGTGCGCCACCTGGCTTTTTTAGGGGTTTTGAGGACGTAAGGATATAATGCACCTGGAGCAGGTAACAGAGCTGGTATGGAGGGGAATCCTCATCAGTATCTGGCGTGGTTAGGAACAGGTGAAACTGGGAGTCGGGGATCAGACCTTGTTTCCGGAAGGAAAAATCCAAAGGTGGGGGGTAGGAGGAAATCAGTGTGGTAGAACGTCACGGACAGAGAGACGGAAAACTCTAAAAATCAGGCTGAAGAGGCTCACAGGAGGGCAGGCAGGCCAGCCAGGCCCAGGCCTGCAGGCCTCAAGCGAAGACACTGACCTGGTCCCACCGTCTGTCAGTGATGGAGGTTTGGTGTCGCAGTCGCATCCCAGTGGAAGGCAACTTTGGGCAGACGTACGACTCCCTCAACCAATCCATTCGTGGTCTGGATGAGGAATTTTCAGCCAATATTGACATCAAGGTAGGAGACACGGACGTGGGTGGATGTGTGGGGGCGAACAGGGAGAAGGGGGACAGCATTAGAGAGGAAAGATAGACAGGCCCAAGTAAGAGGTGCCTGGGGGTGAGAGGGGAACAGGAGGGAGGGACGATGGCGTGTGTGGGGCGATCACGCGGAGACTCTGGTGGGCATGGACCTGGCTTGGAGAGGAAATGGTCATGCGGGTAGAGACGGTGTCGGCTAATACAGGTGCAGAGGAGCCAGACTGTCATAGAACAAGGTGAGCAGATAAAGGGACAAGTCCTGAAGGTCCCCGGAGGCTCCTGGGGCTGGCGTGGAAGAGGCTGGTGTGGCCGGGCTGCAGGAGGCTGCTCTGCACGTGTCCCCGCAGGAGGAGAGGCAGGCCGCGGTGCTGGGCGTCAACCTGAGCTGGCAGCACGTGAGCACGGAGGTGCGGGAATTTGTGCAACGGCAAGAAGCCCGGCTGGAGTGGGCCCTGGGGCTGCTGCACGTGCTGATGTCCTGCGCCTTCCTGCTGGTCCTCCACTCGTGAGCGGCCTCCTCCTCCCCCGGGGCGGGAGCCCCATGCTGGGGGAGGCTGTCAAGAGGGAAGGACAGAGCCCATCACCGGCTCTGAGCCCCAGTGCCATTTGCCTCTGGTTTTGCCTTTTTTATGATCCCGGGTTGTTGTTTACAGAAAGTCAAAGGACGGGTGGCATTTTTTGCGGGAAGAAATGTTACCCAGGTTCCCACCATCTTAAAAGGGCAACGGTCTTCATTTATCTACCTCCTTCCAGCCTTTATCCCAATACTGACTTTTTTCTTTAACATTTAGCTCTGACTTTTGATTTTTCTCTTGCCCTTCATATTCCCTTGGCTCTGACTTTGTGCCATTTTTATCGTCCAATTTTGCTTTCATTCTCTCCTGCCTGCTGCGTTGGCAGCCACTGTCCCTCCATCTAGAACAAAGTCCTCTACCCCACCCAGCCTGGCGTCCAGCGGGGCTACCCTGGGCCTCTCTCTTCTCCGGTTTCCCTGCCGACTTCTGGACCCTCTATTTCCTGTCTCCACCCCCAAATGCCTGAGACGGGCAGAGGCTAGGCAAGGGCTGCCATGGGGGCCCTTGCTCTCTGTCCCTGTTCATGAGGCTCGAGAGACAGAAAAGTGAATGGTTCCGTGTGTACCCAGGGCCCGGGAGAGGACAAAGGTGAATGAGCCATATTCCTGCCCTCCAGATACTCCTGGTCTAGCTCTGTGGTGAGAGAGACACCCGGAAGGCCGAGACGGCTCTTGAGGGCCGGACCAGGAACTGGCTATGGGACAGGTGTGAGACCTGAGGAGGTGCCTCTGGAAGGGCCATAACTGGGTTCCAAAAGGCAGCATGTGAGGGGCCACGGTCAAGGATAGGAAGGGTGATGTCTTGAACAGGCTCTTGGTTATCTGCAGGGTGTAGAGGGCAGAGACGGGGGTGGAGGACTGGGACAAAGTAGGCATGACCAGAAGAGTGTGGAAAGCCCTGCAGGAGGGCGCTGATCTGGGGGTGGTTGCAAGTTGGCAGCCTGGGAGCCAGGAAGCCAGCCTGAGTGAGAAGTGAGGGAGCCGGCCTGGGGGTGGAGTTGGCAGGGCAGGAAGTTGGCCTGCGATGGAAGGAGGAAGGACAAGTGCACAGCAGTTCTCAGAGCTAGCTTGGGGAAGGAAGGAAGGAGGCACAAGTCAAAAGCCATTTCCAGGCTTTCTACCTGGGTGAGGTCATACACCAAAGGGACAGGAAGCCCCAGCAGGGTAACAGTAGGTCTCTCCACAAGGGGGCGCTCCTACTCTGCCTTTGCATTTATAGTATTTCTAACAGGCAAAGATGGGATTTTTACAGGGTCCCAGAACCAATAGCATTGGAATTTATGTTTCACACTTCACCGAGTTTATTCAATGTACTTTCACAGTGTAGAATACATTCCCAACAATTAACATTTTCCCCTTAGGGAACCGAAGCATTGTGTGGGATTGGGGGAGACACATAAAGGATGGCTACACATGCCCACAAGCCAACACCACTGTGGAACTCAGGGGGAGCCAGGCAAGGGCGAGAGTGCATGAATGAGCCAGGGAAAAGGAAAGTGGTAGCTTTGGATGAGTTTTGCTTGAGGTAGGAGACGGGCTGTGGGCAAAGCCGAGAGGCAGGGACTTGGGGAGAGAACGTGGGAGTCACAGTGCGCTGCGATTCCCGCAACCTAGAGGAGTGTCTCGTCTCTGTGCCTCGCGTGATATTCATCCTGCCAGATGCCCGCAGCCCCTACCTCACATGTGCACACCCACCTCTGTCCAAGCCTCCCCTCCCCTCCTCTAGCCACTGTGGCTCAGCAGTCACGAGGGTGGACAGCTGGAAGGCAGGGCCGGAGCCTCCTTCCCTAGTCATGACCACCGCTTAGCACAGAGCCCAGAACCTACGGGTGCTCAGTGAACCCTGGTTGGTGGGCGGCTCAGTGTCTGGTCGGGTGGGTGAGGAACCCTGGAGCGGAAGATGGCACATCCGGAGCCACCCGTCCACAGGTGCTTCTCCTACATGGACAGCTATAACGGGGACATTCGCTTTGACAACATCTACATCAGCACCTACTTCTGTCAGATCGACGAGCGCAGGAGGAAGCTGGTGAGCACTAAGCCCTGCCTTGCTGTGTGTCCCTGTGGGCTTCAGCTCCAGGAGGGCAGAGGGGAGAGGGCAAAGGCCCCAGGGTTCCTCTGTCGGGCTGTTTTCCAGGGTAAACAGACTCTGCTGCCCCTCCGCAAGGCTGAGGAGAAAACTGTCGTCTTCCCCTTCAAGCCCACCATCCAGGCTCAAGAAATGAAGAACCTGGTGAGGACAGCCAGGGCGCAGGGCTGGGGGCGCAGCCACAGGCTGCTGAGGGTGGGGGGCAAAGGGCACCCGAGGGTGCTCCCTGCCAGGGAAGGTGGTGGCCCAGCCCTACCCTGGGCTCCTTGTGCAGGGGAAGGAGCTCCTGGGCACGCTGCCCATTGCGCTGCTGCTGCTGCTGCTGTGCGGGCTGGACTGGGCGCTCTACTCGGTCTTTGACACCATCCGCCAGCACTCCTTCCAGCAGTACTCCTTCCGCAGTGAGCCTGCCCCAGCCCCCAGGCTCTGCAGAGTCCCTGGGGAACTCCCACCCCACGCAGCCGCCCCACCCGGTCACCTCCTCCTGCTTCTTCTGCTCTGCTTCCTGTGGCTCCTTGTCCTCCCAAGGTCAAATCTCAGCCCTGCAAACTGACATGGGCCTCAGTCAACCCTGTACACTTACAATAGGAAGGGGTCAAGATTCCCTGAAGTCCTAAACCAGGCAAGGCCCAGCATGCCTGCAATCCCAGAGACTCAGGAGGCTAATGCAGGAGGCTCCCAAGTTAGAGCCCAGCCTGGGCAACTTCAAATAAAAAGGGCCAAGGATGTGGCTCAGTGGGAGGGCACTCCTGGGTTCCACCAAACAAAACTTCTAGTATGGACTCCTCCCCCACCTCCAGTCCCGGCCTGTCCATCTCTCTACCCACTTAACGCCCACTCTTTCCTGACCCCCTCATCTGGCCTCAGGCAGTCATAAACTGGAGGTGAAGGTAGGGGGAGACTCCATGCTTGCCCGGCTTCTTCGGAAAACCATTGGGGCCCTGAACACCTCCTCAGACACAGTTGTGGAATCAAACAACCTGCGTGAGTGATGCCGGAAGTTTGGATCAGAGGAATGGGGTGGGGGGGGCGTTGCTGAGAGCTGGGTTCCTGTGCCCAATGGCAATAATGAGGATATGATTTTGAGAAAAAGGAAAAAGAAGGTTTATTGCTTTGCTAGCAAAGGAGAAACACAGGGGACTCCTGTCCCAAAGGCTGTGGTTCTGCCCATCAGCAGGAATAGGGAGCTTTTTAAAGAGGTGACTCAAAGGCTACATTCCACGTGTTCTCCACCGAGTGGTAACTCACTGGCTAATTTGGGAGACAGTCATTTCTGAGATCTTCTGTTACCATCCCCAAAGTCTGGATGACTTCGTTCCTATGGTGGGTGTGTACTCTCGGGACAGATAACTCTGCCAAGGATGGGGAACAAAGGTAATCCTGTTTCCCCTGAGATTAGGGAGGGGAGGGATTAGGGAGGAGCAGGGAGAGAGGAGGAGAAAGAAATGTCCATTTTAAAAATAGGTTGCAGTGGCAGAGCAGCAAGGGCTGTATTCAGCATAAAGTGGACACTGTTACTGGGTCAAAAGATCCAAGGTAAAGAGCTGAAGGACTGGGCTGGGACGGAGCTCAGTTGGTAGAGGGCCTGCCTTGCGTGCACAAGGCCCTGGGTTTGATCCCCAGCACCAAAAAAAGAGAGTTGAGGGTCTGATTGGGCCTGGGGTGGAGAGATGGGGCTGGCATGCTTGAGCTGGAGGAATTGGCACATCCTCAAGGAGAGCTTGGTCAGAAAGGTCCAGTCTGGGGGTCTAGAGTCTTGGGGCCACAGGTCCCAGCCCTCTAGAGCGGTGCTGTCCAACAGAAGTTTCTGCCGTGATGTGGATTTTCAGGATGGGTATCACGTTAAGCAAACAGCCGGATGGTCTAGTAGCTTCCATGTTGAGCAGGGGAATCCAGTCCTGCTCTGCGCCTCCCACAGGGCTAGGGAGTCAACCAGGATGGCCCTGACCTGCTGACAGGCCTCCCCCTTCCTAGCCTGCCTGCCCCAGCCCGTGTGCATGGATGCCAGGGCCTACTGGAGGGCCTCACTGCCCATTGTCCTGCTGGTGTGTCTCTGCCTAGCCCAGGCTTTCGGCTACCGGCTCCGGAGGGTCATTGCAGCCTTCTATTTCCCCAAGGTATGACCCTCCCCAGAGCTTTCCAGGCCCACACGCGCACATGCACACGCACATGCACATGCACACAGCTCCCTACAACGCCATTTTCCCCCTCCACACTGCTACCATCGTTGAACTGCTCTCCCTCCCCTAGCGAGAGAAGAAGCGGGTCCTGTTCCTCTACAATGATCTATTGAGGAAGAGAGCAGCTTTCACCAAACTGAGGAGGGCTCTCATCATAAGGCGCGCTCAACAGCAGAGGGGTCCAGTAAGTGCAACCATGTGCGCCCCGCGGCTGTGCCTGGCACCGAGGACTGTGGGACAAGGGCCATCTCCCTTCAGTCCACTAAGCTCCCACCAGAGCCCTAGGCCTATAGGAACTGAGTGTCACGATTCATGCTAGTTCCTGGGTCAGAGCAGTGTCCATCCCCAGACCCAGGACTAGCCCAGTGTGAGATGGTCAGTGGGCCATCTGGAAGCAGGAAGAGAGCGGATCAGAATCTGGGTGCAGGTGTATACCCATAACCCTAATTTCTCAGGAGGCTGAGGCAGGATTGTACGTTTGAGGCCAGCCTGGGCAATTCAGCAAGACTGTGTCTCAAAAAATATATATATATACATATAAAAGGGCTGGGATGTAGCTCAGTGGTAGAGCACCCTGGGTTCAGTCCCCAGCTTTGAAAAGAAAAGAAAAAGACCTGATGCGGCCTGGCACAAGGAAATCAAGGGGATTCATCAGAAAGAGGGGACCAAGGCACAGCACTGGTTCTGCTGAGGGGACTTCAACTAGTTCAGTGCAGTTCAGAGGAGGGGAAGCGGGGGTCAGGAAGGCCTCCGACGGGCACATGAGGCGTATGGGCACAGCGCCAAGTCTGGAGTCTGGAGAACCAGGTTCTAGTCGACATGCTCTTGTTAAGGAGCCCTAAGCTGGGCACGGGGGTGCGTGCTGTCATCCCAACACTCCAGGAGGCTGAGGCCCGAGGATCACAAGTTTGAGTCCTGTCTTGGGCAAACTCAGCAAGACCCTCAGCAACTTAGTGAGAACCTGTCAAAAACTAAAATGGGCCGGGACCTGGCTCAGTGGTAAAGAACTCCTGGGTTCAATCCCTAGGAAATCCCTAGGAAAAAAGTTGCATGACCTTGGCCAAGGTCCTCACTAGGCCTCATTTTCTTGCTCTGAAGAATGGGGAAGCCCTCTCACTAGAGATCAGAGTGGCCGGCAGATGTCAAAAGGATTTGAACCCTAGCTCTTCCCAGTGGAGCACCTTGTTTAACTGCTGTGCCTTGGTTTTTCCCTTCAGTGAAATGTGGTTAACGACTCCATCTGGTTTTGTTTTATTTTTTGGTACCAGGGATTGAACCCAGAGTGTTTAACCATGGAGCCACATCCCCAGCCCTTTTTATATTTCGTTTAGTTGCTTAGGGCCTCACTAAGTTGCTGAGGCTGGCTTTGAACTCATGATCCTCCTGCCTCAGCCTCCTAAATACAGGTATGCACCACCACGCCTGGCTTTCATCTGGTTGTTGTAAGGATTACATGACATGGTTCTGGATGAGTGTTTGCTGTCATTGTCTACCTCTGGGCAAATGAACAACTCTCCAAGCATCAATTTTCTCACCTGAAACAGAAATGATAGTGATGACAATATCTGCCATACATGGTGTGCGTGTGTGTGTGTGCGCGTGTGTGTGTGTACCATGCTGGGAATGGAAGGGGTCTCACAAGAGGCATCCTCTGTCTCTGAGCTATACCCCCAGCCTATAAAGTTGTTTTTGAATTGAGTTAATTTACTCCAGTCTTTCAGCGCAGGGCCCAGCATTATAAGCAGAACAATGAATGGCAGCCACACTGGTTTAGTCAACCCTCACAAAGTTCACAGAGATGAGAAAGCTCATAAGCTTTTTCCTCCAGTGCCTAAACCTCCCTGGTCCCCCGTGACACACAATAGAGACCAAATGAATGTCTGATGGAAAAATGACCATCCTGGGATTCCATGACCTTGTCCTGAAGTAAACTGAATGTAACTCAGTGGTCAAGCACTTGTGTAGCCTGCACAGGCTCTGGGTTCCATCCTCAGCAACACACACACACACACAGTGTAAGGGACATGCATTCTAAACTAAGTGCAAAGACCTGGACCTCAAGGGAGTGCCCAGTGCCATGGGCTGGGCTAAGGAGAAGGCGGACAGAAGAGGCGGTATCCAGGGAGGTAGGACAGAGGCTACAGAGAGACAGATAATGGAAGCCTCTGAAGGCCAAACCCAGGAGAACTCCTGTAGTCTGGCAGGCAGAGAGGCAAAGAGGTACCTGACAAAATGGCCTGTAGAGGAAACCTTGCAATTGTGGGGGGAAAGGGTGTGTGGAGGTGGGGAACCTAAAGATAACAAGGCTTGTCATTTGGAATCAGGGGACCTGGATCGGGCCAGGTTTGATTTACTGTCCTCATGCCTTTAGAAGAGTCACTTCATCTTTCCAGAGAGTCACCTTTCTCACCTGTTAAGTGGGGATAATAATAGTCAGTCTGTCTGCCCTACCCACTTCTCAGCCTCACCGAGGGAACAAAATAAGATGATTCACAAATGCAAATGACAGTGTTCTGACATATCCCTACGGTGGCCCTGGAGACCACAGCCTGTCCAGGCTCCATTCTGAAGTCGGGACCTACTGCCATAGGGTCTTCTTTGCTCAACCCAGTCCCCTCCAACACGTGGGCACCGTTAGTCCTTGGGACCTCAGACAGGCCTGTCCCGAGCCCCTGGCCATCCCTTTTTCCTTCCTCTCACTTCCGGACTGGCACTAACCACCGCCACCTCCTAACAGCGCCACCACCTGGTGGACACCCTGCACCACCGCTGCCCGCTCCTGCGCCGCTGGCTGCGCCGGCGATGCGTAGTGTGCCAGGCGCCCGAGACACCCGAGTCCTACGTGTGCCCAACGCCAGAATGCGATGCCGTGTACTGCCAGTCGTGCTGGAACGACATGAAGAATCTGTGCCCGGTCTGCACACCCCGCGAGGAGCTCTCCTCCTCTGCTTACAGCGACAGCAACGATGACCTTAAGTACGCGGAGTGAGGGGCGTACCTCTGGCTTCCGCCCACCTTCCCGTTTAATAAAACGTCTTGCTGGCTCCTGCCGCCCGCGCTTCGCTGGGGTCTGGGATCGGGGAGCTGGACGCTGCCTAGCAGGCAGTCGGGAGAGCTACCCTCTTGACCCCCACGGGGCCGGGCCACGGACCTGAGGCGAGGCTCCTAAGGGGGTGCCGGGCGCCGGCCGGAGCGCGGGAGGGCAGCGCCGGCCAGACCCCGCTCCCGGCACAGCTGCGGCTCCGCGGAGCGGCGGGGGCGGAGCCGTCGCCGGGGGCGGGGCCCGGCTTCTGTGGGACCCCGCGAGACGGGGGCGGGGCCTCGAGGAGGGCGGGGCCTCGGGCGGAGCCTGGCTCGCGGCCGGGAGGGAGGGGGCGAGGCGGGGCCTGGTGGCCGTGCGGCTCGTGTGGGCGCAGCGAGCAGACCCGGCCGCCGCGGTCCCTCCGCGCGCGGTCCCGCACCTGCTGCCCTCGCCCGGCCCGGGGCGCCGCTGCCATGCGGCTGGCGCTGCTCTGGGCCCTGGGGCTCCTGGGCGCAGGCAGCCCTCTGCCTTCCTGGCCGCTCCCAAATATAGGTGAGTCCTCCACCAGGAATAGGTCGAGGGGCGGACGGGGAAGAGGTTCAGGGAAATCTGGAGGCTTCCGAGTGCTAGGGTCAGCCGCAGAGACCAGCCCGAGGGCGGCCTGCCTGGTTGGCTGTCCCCGGCCTAGGGCCCCGTGACTTGGCGATGGAGGGCAGAGAGGAGGAGTGATGCTGGGGTCCCCCGCCCCGTCGTCCTTGGCGATGTCCCGATGAACACTTTCAGACTCAGATACAGGCACCGAGGGGCCCTCCCAGTGCCCCCTCGGGATCATGGAAAAGGGTCGCTCCTCCCCAGGACTGACGTCTTCGCTCTTCTGGGGCCTAGCTGACAGTTCCACCCAGTGCCAGGCTGACGGATGGGCACGGTGCGTGGGGTTTAGTAAAGAGGATCCTTACCAGCCCCTCATCCCAGGCCTGGGCTTCAGGCACCCGTCACCCTGGTGCTGTTGCCACCAGAAGCCTGTCTGAGCGGGAGGGGCCGGGAGGAGCCAGGAGAGGGGAGCACTGGCCAGGAAAGAGGCTGGACACCAACTCCTCCTTGGAACTTTCACTTCCCACTGCTGTCTTGGGCCGGGGGCCGAGAGGGCAGGCGGGGGTGGAGTGTCCGGAGGACAGAGGGCCATTGGGAGGGGGGATGCTGCGGGAGGAAGCGGAGGCTGTGGGGAGCGGGTGTGTCAGACTGGACATGAGGGGTGTTCAGGGAGGCGAGGGTGTTTGCACTGCTCACCCAGAAATGGGCGTTCCCGACATTGCCAATGTGAAGGAAGGGGAGGGCGAGTGGGCATCCTGCCACAAGGCTTCGCCTAGTCCAAAGAGGGCGTTCTGGACGGTGGTGGTGTGTGGCGGGGGTAGGGGAAGGAGTGGGAACAGGGGAGGGTCCCTGGGAGAACCTGGGATTGGCCAGAGGGGGACAAGGAGGGGCCACAGGCTGGACAGGCTGAACTTCTTTCTCTGGGACTGGTATATGGGTTGGTGGGTGGCAAGCGCTCATCTGGAGAGGAGGCGCCCTCCCCCCCACTATTTTCCTTTAAGTTCTGGTGTGCAGTGCAAGAGCCCTTTGGATGCAGAGGGCCTTGATGTGCTGGGGGCTGGTGGGTCTGGGTAAGGACCCCCTCAGCCCTCTCCTGGGAAACCCTGCAGGTTTCATGGAGGAACAGCAGGCCAGACCAGAGAGGGCCCCGAGTGGGCCCTCGCAGCCCCAGATCCTTCAGGACAAGGTCCCTATTGGCCTAGCAGAGGTGTTTCAGGTGAGCATCCTCTAACAAACATATACCCCATCCGACCCCAGCATCATCAGGTGTCTCAGGACCAAAGCTTGGCTGAGGAGCCAGTAAGTGACCTCATTGTAGCAGGTCCACTGCAGGTCCCACTCCCTCCCCCACCACACCCCAACACCTGGCTTCACTTATCTCCTTTTTCCCTCTATGCACATCTGTCTGCCTCAGCTCCACCCAATGCAACCGTCTCCTGAGGGAATTTCTGAAGCCAAACTTGCTTATTTTGTCTCATGTTGTCAGTTTTCTCAGTGGGGGGATTTGGAAAGGGTAAGGGCTTCACCCCCCCCATTCTAAAGCTGAGTCAGAGGAAGGGCTGAGGCCTGTGCTGGGTCCTCTGTGATGCTTCCTCTCTGGGCAGGAAGCCGAGAAGGGGCGTCTTAGATACCTTCCTTGACCTCCCCACACAACCCCCCAGAACAATGCCCCAGGCCAGGCAGGGCTTCCTGGTCCCTCCCTTGGGATCCCCCCACCAGTGACCTAATCATTGGTGCTCTCCTGAGGGCTTGAGGTTTTCTGGCTAGAGATGGTAGGCGTCATGGGAAGGGCTAAGAAGATGACATGTTTTCTGGTACCCACAGACGGGTCTGTCTAAGGCCATGAGGATCAAAGTGGAGCTGGACGGTGACAGTTACATCCTGGAGCTGCTGCAGAACAGGTAAACCGGCAGGATGATAACAATCACACGGAACTACTTGTGCAGCATTTACCATGTGCCAGACACTAAGTGTCTGCACTCATGGGTCCTCAAAACCACCCTGTATTGTCCTCATTTTACATATGAGGAAGTCAAAGCACAGAGAGATTAAATAACTTGCCTAAGCCGGGCATGGTGGCACAAGCCTGTAATCCCAGCGGCTCAGGAAGCTGAAGCAGGAGGATCACGAGTTCAAAGTGAGCCTCAGCAACTTAGCAAGGCGCTAAGCAACTCAGTGTAACCCTATCTCTAAATAAAATATAAAAAAGGGCTGGAGATATGGCTCAGTGGTTAAGTGTCCCTGAGTTCAATCCCTGGTAAATAATAATAATAATAATAATAACAACAACAACAATAATAATAACAACAACTTGCCTAAGGTCATGCAGCTAGTGTGTGTCAAAAACTAGATTGGGACTGACAACAGTGGTACATGCCTATAATCCCAGAAGTTCGGGAGGCAGTGGCAGGAGGATTGCAAGTTCAAAACCAGCCTCAGCAACTTATCGAGACCCTAAGCAACTCAGTAAGACCCTGTCTCTAATTAAAAATATAAAAAAGGGCTGGGGATGTGGCTCAGGAGTTAAGTGTCCTGGGTTTGATCCCTGGTACCAAAACAAACTAGAGTGGAACCCAGATACCCTGACAGAATCAGGGGGCCAGCCCCTATACTCTGCTCCCTCAGGGAAGGTGGGAGTTGGGGACACTGCCTGGCCCTCCAGTCCCCACTCTACTGCCTTAGGCCTCCGCTTGTCACTGTACCATCCTGTGAGTCACCTTGGACACTGCCATGATTTTTCTTCACTCCACAGGGATTTAGTCCCAGGTCGCCCAACCCTGGCATGGTATCAGCCAGATGGCACTCAGGTAGTCAGTGAGGGACATACTCTGGTGAGTCAGGTCCTCCTGTGCCCTGTTTCTGGCCTGGATGAGGGAGGGGGGGAGCACTAGGGGGTGGCAGCCTGGACATCTTGGTTAATAAGTCAAGACCTCTGTGTTCCGTGCTATCCTCCCTGAGAGTGGCACTGATGTGTCTCTGCTGCAGGAGAACTGCTGCTATCAGGGCAGAGTACAAGGCCATACCAGCTCCTGGGTCTCCATGTGCGCCTGCTCCGGGCTCAGGTACCGTGGCTGGAGTCCCTGACAGGAAAGAAGGACACCAGGCCTGGAGCTGAAAGTTTCTCTCACTTCTGTTTCATTTCTTAGGGGCTTGGTGGTCCTGTCCCCAGAGAGAAGTTATGTCTTGGAGCTGGGGCCTGGGGACATTCAGGGTCCTCCCATTATCTCCCGGATCCAAGACCTTCGCTTGCCAGGCCACGTCTGTGCCTTGAGCCGGAATGCCCCTGTGCCCACGCAGGCTCCACCAGGGCACCCCCTGGGACAACGCCACATTCACCGGGTAAGGAGGAATGGCAGAGGGCTTGGGCTTCGGGTATCTTCAGTGCTGACCCCAGCCCCTAGAGTTCTGTTCCAGGCAGCTCTACTGATGGAGCCCTTTGCACATGCCAGGCACTTTGTGAACAGTGCTTCACTTACTCTTCCCAGCAACTTTAGGAGGTAGCAAGAGCTCTACTGTAAAGGAGGAAACTGGTTCAGAGGGGTTAGGTGATGGCCCAAGGCCCCCACTAAGAAATGGTCTCACCAGGATCCGGAAGCAGGTGTTCAACTCAAACTCCCCACTTGTCTTACGATTCCATTTACAGAGAGCTCTCACTTGGGTATAGAAAATACACAGTTACCAACCAGACAGCAATAAAACATAAAACAGGTCCTGACATGTTTGCTTTATAGGGTTGTTGTGAAGATGAAATGAATCTTGTCTATCATCCATCTCCATATATATGTTTAGCTTAGCACCATGCTTGGCAAATGGTATTACCACACAGTCAGTATTTATAGCATTTATAGTGCCAGCATGTATGTATTTATGTGGTACTGGGGATTGAGCCCAGGGACACTTTACCACTGAGCCACATCCCCAATCCTTTTTGGCTTTTATTTAGATACAGGGTCTCCCTAATTTGCTTAGGGCCTTGCTAAGTTGCTGAGGCTGACCTTGAACTTGCAATCCTCCTGCCTCAGTCTCCTGAGTAGCTGGGATTACAGGTATATGCTACTGCATCTGGCTAATATTTATTTGTTTTTTAATAATGTTTTTTTTTAAAAAAAAAAAAAGCACTGAGTTTAGAGCTACAAAAGCAGGGCTGTACTCCCATCTTCCTAATCGACTTCTTGGTCCACCTTGGGCAAGTCTCTGTCCTCTGTGGCTCTCCGGGGTTCTTTGCCCTCTTCAGTGGAACCACAGGGTGGGAGTGGACATAGCTTAGTTGGCCCTGGGGCTACCGGTAGATTGACCCGAGGCACCCTCCTTTCTGTCCACAGCACAAGCGGGACGTGGTAACAGAGACCAAGATTGTCGAGCTGGTGATCGTGGCCGACCATTCAGAGGTGAGCCTGCCGGCCTCTGCGGTCTCCCCTGCCCTCTGGCCACCCTGCCGCCTTTCATGGTAATTTCTCGTGGCCACAGGTCAGGAGGTATCCCGACTTCCAGCGCCTGCTGAACCGCACACTGGATGTGGCCCTCCTGCTGGACATGGTGAGTCCAGGGCTGGCCAGGAGCCCCCAGCCCCCGACGGTGGCAAACCTCCTGTGAGCCTCAGTTCTTCTCCAGTTCTTCCAGCCCCTGAATGTTCGGGTGGTACTGGTGGGCCTGGAGGCCTGGACCCAGCACGACCTGATAGAGATGAGCCCAAACCCAGCTGTCACTCTAGAAAACTTCCTCCACTGGCGCCGGACAGACTTGCTGCCTCGACTGCCCCATGACAGTGCCCAACTAGTGACGTAAGCCCTCATGCTCAGTCTGTACCTGGCCAAAGTCACACCCTTTCAACTTGATACCTCAGGTCCTGCAGCTCTGACCCCCATGGTTTCTGTCTCTGACCTATTTTTTTGGGGGGGGTGGGTGGGTACTGGGGATTGAACTCAGGGGCACTCGACCACGGAGCCACATCCCCGGCCCTATTTTGTATTTTATTTAGAGACAGGGTCTCACTGAGTTGCTTAATGCCTTGCTGTTGCTGAGGCAGGCTTTGAACTCGCGACCCTCCTGTCTCAGCCTCCTGAGCCGTTGGGATGGCAGGCGTGCGCCACCGTGCCTGGCATCGCCTCTGACCCTTGACCTCTTGGTTCCACAGTGATATTTCTTTCTCTGGGCCCATGGTGGGCATGGCCATTCAGAACTCCATCTGTTCTCCCGACTTCTCAGGAGGTGTGAACATGGTGAGTTATTTGCAAGTCTCTTCTCCTTTCCCAATTTAGTTTTTCCCAAATATGGAACCATTTTTCACTGAAATAATAATGAACCGTTATTCACTGAGACCCCCCCTACAAAGTTGGCCAACCTCAAAGTCATGGAGGATGAAGGTACCTGAAGTGGCCTCTGCTTGTCAGGAAAGCAGCCCCTCACCTGTGGCCAGTACTTCAAGGTGCAGCCCACACCTATGAGGTCTTCCCATTTCTAGGGAGAAGGCCAAGGGGTTGCTGAGCCCCAAAGAACAGAGGTGACCTCCAGGGGGGCAGAGCTGAACCCCAGTTTCCGGTCTCCCATGCCTGAACTTCAGAAGAATTAAGGAGGGGGACCATGCCCACTGAGTGCCCAAGAGGCCCATGCAGCGAGGACAGGAGCAGTCAGGGTGGGCTGGGCACTGTGTGGGAGCCAGGCTAGGGCTGGACCTGGGGTGCTCCCTTCCCACTGGCAGGACCACTCCATAAGCATCCTGGGAGTTGCCTCCTCGATAGCCCATGAGTTGGGCCACAGCCTGGGCCTGGACCACGATTCACCTGGGAGCAGCTGCCCCTGTCCAGGTCCAGCCCCAGCAAAGAGCTGCATCATGGAGGCCTCCACCGAGTGAGTGGCCACAGGATGCGGAGGGGGAGGGGGAGGGGGAGGCCGGGAGGGTCCTCCGCCCCAACCTTCCTTGCCCGCCCCAGCTTCCTGCCAGGCCTGAACTTCAGCAACTGCAGCCGGCAGGCCCTGGAGAAAGCCCTCCTGCAGGGGATGGGCAGCTGCCTCTTTGAACGGCTGCCCAGCCTGCCCCCTATGGCCCCCTTCTGCGGAAATATGTTTGTGGACCCTGGCGAGCAGTGTGACTGCGGCTTCCCGGATGTGAGCCCCTCACCCAAAGCCTTGCCCACTCACTTCTGCGCCCTCGCCCTGGCTCCTTAGCCCTCTCCCCGCCTTCTGAGTTCCTCTGTGGTTCTGAAGGGGCTTCCCTGTCTGCAGGGACAGGCCATGGGTCACGGGCTTGTAGCTCTCCTGCTTGTGGTTTGGGCAGGCTGCTGGGTGTGCTGTCTGGGAGATGTTGGGGGTAGGCTCTCAGGCTCAGCCTGCTGTGATGCTTGGTCCCCTCTGTACCCTCACCCAGGACTGCACAGATCCCTGTTGTGATTACTTCACCTGCCAGCTGAGGTCAGGGGCACAGTGTGCATCTGACGGACTCTGTTGTCAGAACTGCCAGGTAACCTGGACACAGTGGCACATGCCTACAGTCCCAGCCACTCGGGAGGCTCAGGCAGGAGGATCACGAGTTCAAAGTCAGCCTCTGCAACTTAGGCCCCGACTCCAAATAAGACATAAAAAGGGCTGGGGATGTGGCTCGGTGGTAAAGCACTCTGGGTTAAATCTCCAGTACTAAAAAATAAAAGAACTGCCAGGTATAGACTGGCTACCCAGAGCTCACCTGCAGGGGGCAGGTAAAAGGGTCCTTCTGATCCCCAGGCCTGGCTGGATTTGTCCAGTTGCACTGATGCTCACCCGCCCTCCACAGCTGCGCCCCGCCGGCTGGCAGTGCCGTCCTAGCAGAGGAGACTGTGACTTGCCCGAGTTCTGCCCAGGAGACAGCTCTCAGTGCCCCCCTGACATCAGCCTGGGGGACGGCGAGCCCTGTGCTGGTGGGGAGGCTGTGTGTGTCCACGGGCGCTGTGCCTCCTATGCCCAGCAGTGCCAGTCACTCTGGGGACCTGGGGCCCAGCCCGCCGCACCACTTTGCCTCCAAACAGCCAATACTCGGGGCAACGTTTATGGGAGCTGTGGCCGAAGCGCCAATGGCAGCTACATACCCTGCACCCCTCGGTAAGTGGGGAAACCCGGCCCCTCCTCTGGGTTTGTGGGCACCTTCGCCCCACTCCCTGACCCGGCTTGCCTTTCTCCCACCCTCAGAGACGCCGTTTGTGGGCAGCTTCAGTGCCAGGGGGGCAGGACGCAGCCTCTCCTGGGCTTAGCCCAAGAGCTGCGCTGGGAGACGCTGGAGGCCAACGGGACACAACTGAACTGCAGCTGGGTACACCTGGACCTGGGCAACGACGTGGCCCAACCCCTCCTGACTCTGCCGGGCACAGCCTGTGGCCCTGGCCTGGTGAGCAGCCTGGGTGGGCAAGATTAGGTCGGAAGGGACAAGCAGTGTCTGGGCTTCACTGTCCACCAGTGGAAAAGGCACCGACTGCACAGAAATCACATTCTTACTGTGGGTTGAGCAAGTCTTGTCTTCCTACCGAGCCTCAGTTTCTCCATTTGTAAAAGAAGGTGTTGGCCTCAGCCTGGCTGGGCCCAGGCCTCGTCAGACTTTGTGAGAAATGTGATCTTTGCTCTTCTCCACCTCTGGGGCAGGTGTGTCTAGACCACCGATGCCAGCCTGTGGATCTCCTAGGAGCACAAGAGTGTCGAAGCAGATGCCATGGACATGGAGTAAGCTGGCTAAAGGGGAGAAGGGAGCCTCCACGGGGGGAGAATGAGGGCTCTGGAAACAGACATCTTCGCTGGGCACAGTGGCACACAGCTGTGGCCAGCAACTTGGGAGGCTGAGTCAGGAGAATCACAAGTTTGAGGATAGCCTCAGCAACTTAGTGAAACCCTGTCTCAAAATAAAAAATAAAAGGACTGGCATGTAGCTAATGGTAGAGTAGCCCTGGGTTTGATCCCCAGGACCAACACACACACACACACACACACACACACACACACACTCTCTCTCTCTCTCTCTCTCTTTCTCTCTCTCTCAAAAAAACGGGGGACAGGAATGATTTACTTGGGTTCCAATCTTTGCTCTGCCACTTCCTAGCTTTGTGACTGGGGCAGGTTATTGACCTCTCTGAACTCAATTTCCCATTCATCAAATAGGCATAATAAGCCAGGCGTGGTGGCACATGCCTACAATCGCAGAGGCTTGGGAGACTGAGACAGGAGGATCGCAAGTTCAAAGCCAACCTCAGCAACGGCGAGGTGCTAAGCAACTCAGTGAGACCCTGTCTCTAAATCAAATACAAAAAAGGGCTGGGGATGTGGCTCAGTAGTTGAGTGCCCCTGAGTTCTTTCCCCGGTACCAAATAAATAAATCAGTAGGCATAGTAATCACGCACAATTCCTGGGCACTGTTACCCGGCCTGATACATATGAAAGCCTCCAGCACAGTGCCTAGCATACTGAACATGCCCCACAGTGTTCATTTGACCCAATTTCCTCTGCCATGGATAAAGATTCCCTCTCCTGGGCGCGGCTCTCTCTTCCCATCATCCCCAGCACACCTTCCAGTTGGGAGTCTGAGATCTTGAAAAGCTGAAGGCAGGGAAATGGTCCCAGAGCGCAGAGCCCGTCATCGCTCACCCTGTACTTCTAGGTCTGTGACAGCAACAGGCACTGCCACTGCGAGGAGGGCTGGGCACCCCCGGACTGCACCACACAGCTCCGAGGTAGCTTGGGAGGGGGCAAGTGGGAGGGCAGAGTGGCTCGTCCCTTCCAGTGCCCTCTGCCTGGCCCCTTTGCCTTCTCTGACCTCTTCTCTCCACTCCCTGGCTCTGCTCCCTCCTGGATAGAGCCCTCGGCCCTCCTACATCTAAACCCCACCTCCCCCCACAGCAACCAGCTCCCTGACCACGGGGCTGCTCCTCAGCCTCCTGCTGTTGCTGGTCCTAGTGCTACTTGGTGCCAGTTACTGGCACCGTGCCCGCCTGCGCCAGCGACTTTGCCAGCTCAAGGGATCCAGCTGCCAATACAGGTACAAGCCTCGCTTCCCTGCTAGCCACGTCCTTCAGCTGGGGAGATTTCTGAAGCCTGCCCTACCTGGGCACCTGCCCCTGCTTCTGAGCCCCAGTCCCTGAACTTGCTGATCACCACCTTCCCTACATGCACCCTATAACTCTTCACCTCACAGCTGTACCCCCTGTGGGACAGCTGGGGTGCTGGGACCATTTCTCCCAGGGCTCCAGGGCAGGGTAAGGGGTCCCTCCCTCAGGCTGACCAACTTCTCCCCCACACAAAGCTGCTCTCCAAAAGGGCTACAAAGGGTCAACCTCCCTGGGGTGGCTGATGGGTGGCCAACAGGGTCTGAGATGGGGTCCTCTCCCCTCTGCCTTTCCTCATGCTCAGGGCAGCCCAATCCAGTCCCCCTGAACGGCCAGGACCCCCCCAGAGGGCCCAGGTGTTGCCGGGCACTAAGGTGAGTCCTGGATGCCCCAGGAAGAGGGGCCGGCCTTGCCTGGCGTCCAGCTTGGGCAAAGTGGCTGATGTCGGGAGACAGAGCTTCCAAGGGTCTAGACCCAGGGAAAGGCTAGCGTTGCCCAGAGTCAAGAGTCAGGCCGGCCTTCCCATCTGCCCTCACCTGGCTGCCAGCCGAGAGCAGCGTAAGCCTGGAGTGGGGAGCGCTGTCACCTAGAGGGGGCTCCGCTGAGCTCTCTCAGCTGGCCAAGCTGGTGGCTTTGAAAGGTGAATCTGTTGAAGCCCCTCACAGTGACCGCTGTAGGGCACAAGGGGGATGGTGCCCAGAAGGGCCTTCAGTGTGCCAGGAGCTGACAAGCCCCAGTCACCTGTGTAGAAGGGCTGGTGAGTGCCTCTGGTCTGAGCCCTCTGGCTCTGACGACAGGAATATGTGTGTGGAGGTGACCTGCATGCCCACTTCACCACTCGTCACCCCTCTGCATGCAGCTGAATAACTGCATGCCAGCTCCCATGCCCCTGGGGCCCTGGCTGCCCCCGCCGGGACACTAACCCTCTCTGCCCTCATCTGTCTTTCTGCCCCTCCTCCCCACTCTGTGCCTGTCACTCCTCTGGCCTCTCAGCAGGTTAGTGCTCTCGGCTTTCCGGCCCCCCCCCTCCAGGCCGCTGCCGCCTGACCCTGTGCCCAAGAGACTCCAGGTAAATCTGGGCCGGGCCCCGCTCTGGCCCAGAACAGGTGGGAGGCTTGGTGCCCAACTGCAGTGCTCATCCCTGCTCCCTGCCAGTGGTGCTCTCCATTAGGTGACCAAGGTGTCACCACTCGGCCTTCCAAGGCTGAGCCCCAGAAGCCGCAAAGGGTGAGCCTCCTGCCTTGGTTTCTACCACCATCTGGTGGTGAGTGGCAGGACTGCAGTCAGTCAGGGATTCCATGGCTGACTCACACCTTCCTCAGGCTGAAGCATGTATCTGCTGGCATGCACCCAAGCCCTCTGCATGCCCCGTTCTCCCCTGCCCCCGGCTGCCTGTGCATGTTTTTCTGAACTCCTCTGGGGAACTTGTGCATGCCCACTGCCCCTGGCTGTACTTAGCCACTGCCCCTCTCTCTGTCCAGGCTGAGCTGGCTGACCGACCCAATCCCCCCACCCGCCCTCTGCCCGCTGACCCGGTGGTGAGGCGCCCGAAGGTAACAGTGGGGGGAGAGAAGGGCACAGCCTCTTCCCCCACCTAGGGCTGTGGTGCTGGTTGCCGTGGCGGTGGTGGCCGTGGCGAGATGCCCCCCTCTGTGCCTGAGGGCACATGTCCCCGTGGCTCCTTTAATGGTGACAGGTTTGTTTGGAGACAAGGGTGATTTCTGGTGCTGCCCCCAAGCTGGTGTTCCCCAGCACCAGTGCGATGGGGGTGGGCAACACGACGCGCACCAAGCCAGCTCATGCCTTCCCTCTCTCAGTCTCAGGGGCCTACCAAGCCCCCACCCCCAAGGAAGCCACTGCCTGCTGACCCCCAGGGCAGGCGCCCTTCGGGTGACTTGCCTGGCCCAGGGGCTGGAATCATGCCTTCAGTGGTCCCCTCCAGGTAGGTGAGGAGAGGGTTGCTGACGATGGGTGGACAAGGAGAATGATCTGGGAAAGGGGGTGACCTTTTTTTCTCCCCAATTCCAGGCCAGCACCACCGCCTCCAGCAGCATCCTCGCTCTACCTCTGACCTCTCCTGAGGTCGCGCTGCCTCCAATTCGGATTTAGGACTTAAAGAAGCGGAACCCTGTTGGAGTCCCCCACAATGACTGAAGAAGCCGGAGCGTGGACACTGTAATGCCCAGCCTTAGGGAAGCAAGACCGTCAGGCGCTGTGAAGCAGCACTCTGATGACTCGCCGGTATAGCTGCAGCCGGGGGCTAGTGGGGGACTGGGGCTGGATGGGGCTGAGGGAGGTGCACCCAGCCTGTCTCTGTTCTGCTGCAATAAAGAGAGATCTTGATCGCGTGTCTCAGGGTGCCTTCTCGGAAGCCGGTCGCCCCTCCTGCGTTTCCAGGTCTGGCCGCCAGGAGACGCTGCCTCCTCAGACCAGGGCTTGCTGGGCCGGGCGGGAGTCCCAGCCTTGGTCTACCAGCCTGTGTCCCGCGGATGCTCCCGACTTGTTTCTGCCCAGTCTGGGGTGACTCTCAGCGTGATCCTGTACCACAGGGAGTTGTTTGCCCGTTGCCACCCCTAATCTCCCAGTCCTCGCATCCTATGCTGCCCGGTCCCCGGAGACGCTGTCGATCTACAACCCAGCCAAGCTGTGGGACCACGTCCCCACCCTCCACCAGTGGCTGGGAAAAGTGACTCTAACTGGTATTCTCAGCGCCCGGAGCCGGGGCGGAGCGGGCGGCGGCTCCCACGATCCCAAGGCCGCGCACCTGCCTCCCGCCCCTCCCCCGCCCCCACCTGAGGGCTCGGGAACAAAGGTGCTTTGTACAGGCCGCAACCACTTCATCACTTCGTCCTCGGGATGGGGCCGCGTGGGCCCCCTGCCCAGAACGAGGGTGTGGGACGGAAAGGGACAGGCGCCAACCCCAAAGTGGGCATCTAGCACACCCCCTAAGGTTCTGTGGGGACAGGTGTGTCCCAGAGAAGGCTCTTTGTCCCTTCTCGTGTCAGTGGCCCTAGATGTGCTGAGAAAAGGGGGTGGCTGAACATGAAGGTGGCTGGACAGGCTTGGTGGATCCCTGCTCGTGCCTCACTTTCCCCAACTGGGTGAAGGATGTATGCTCGCTCGTTTAAAATCTCCCAAACTTCCTTCCTTCCTTCCTTCCTTCCTTCCTTCTCTCTTTAGACCGGGTCTTGCTAAACTGCCCAGGCTGCCTCAAATCCCAGGGCTCCAGCGAGCCTCCTCTGCAGGAGCTAGGACTACAGGTGCCGGCCACCGCGCCCAGTCTCCCAAGTTTCTAATAAGGCTTTCTACCTCATACTAACGAGACAAGAAAGACAAGACTTCCCCTTAAACATTCTTAGTGGAGTTTTTAAGTGCCACCTCCTTCTCGCCCGGTGGCAGTGCGGCGCGGCCTCAGTAGAACCTTTGGCTAACCTGGCGCGCGACACGGTGCACAAAGGGTTAACCAAAGTTGGCTCCGAGCGCAGAGGCGGAGACAGGTTTTCATTGGTGGAAAGTTACCCGGGGGCGTGGCCCGGGAGTCTCCGCACCACCCCCCCTTTCCACAACCCCCCCTCTCCACTTTGTACCTTTCTCGCTCAGACTGCGAAGCGGGCCGGGACCCGCCGGACCCGACCAGACCGGACCCTGGGGGCGATGCGGCTGCTGCCCCTGCTGCGGACTGTCCTCTGGGCCGCGCTCCTCGGCTCCCCTCTGCGGGGGGCCTCCAGCCTCCGCCACCCCATCTACTGGAACTCCAGTAACCCCAGGTAGCCGGGCCGAACCAGGCGAAAGCCGAGTCGGGCCCGCGCGCTCCCGGGCCAGGCGCGCGCCCGCCACTCGCTCTTTGCGCGGCGCCGCCGCCTAAGCCCGGCGGCGCGCCGGGGCTCCTTTGTTTGAGCCGGCGGGGGAGGGGGTGGGGGGAGGGGCAAGGCGCGCCCTGGGTCTCCCCCCTCCCGCACGTGTTGGGGGGAGGGCGCAGGACCCCAACCCTGGCCGAGGTCAGTGGAGCCTGGGAGCGTGGAGCTGGGGGTCCTCGGCCTGTATTCCGGGCCCCGCCCCCCTCGCTTCTCTCGTGATCCCCAGCCTCTGGCCTGCCTGAGCTGCGGTGGACCGAGAATGAGGGAGGGGGGCTTTACTCTTATGCAAGAGCATGGGTTACTCTCAGGCTCTCTGGGCCTCCCCTCTGGCTTTCTCTGGCTCCTGATCTCATTCAGTATCTCTCCTTCCATCTGGATCATTTATCTGTCCTGTTTCTGTCCTGTCTCGACCCTGCCCTACTAGCTTAATCACCTTTGGGCAGGTTGTTTGACCTCCCTAACCTCAGTTATGTCACCTGCAAAATGGGCTAATAATACCTAGTACCCTGGGAAGTCAGGCTGGCTAACTGAGGTCATGCATGTGAAAAATGGTTCAAGCTGTACAGATACAAACGATTATTTCTTTCTCTCTCCTGAGCTGTCTTTCTTTGAACCTTGGTATTTTTTGCTGTTTCCATCCTCCCCAATTCTCCCTGCCTCTCTGCCTTCCCCATCTGTCTTCCTTTCTGATTTTCTACTTCAGACAATCTGTGACTGTTTATTTATTCACTAACATTTAATAAGCACATACTGTGTGCTGGACCTGTGCTAGGTTGCTGGGGATTAGCTCAATGAAAAAAACGAAGACCCTGTGCTCTGGGAGAGCTCAGGTCCAAGAGAGGGCAGGGTTAAAGTCACTACAATCCTAGTAACAAGTGATAAAGGCTATTGTCCTCAGAATGAATTCCTCTATCTCTGTTCCAGAACAGTACCTGGGAACCACTTGAGGACCTGTTAAAATTTTATGTTCTAGCCCCCACCCCTGAGCTTTCAGGGCTCATTTGTGCAATCCTCAAATATTCACTGAGCCGTCCTTGTGCAAGGCACTTTGCCAGGCACTGGGGATGGGACAGAACAAAGCATGCAAAGACCTTGTCCTTGCTCAACTTACGTTCTAGTAGGTTGAGCTCAGGAATGTCCCCTATCACTGTCCTGGAGAGTGAATCCAGGGGTACTCTACCACTGAGTCACACTCCCAGCCCTTTTGTAAATTTTTGTTTTTGAGACAGGGTCTTGCTAAACTGGCCCCACTTGTGATCCTCCTGCCTCAGCCTCCCGAGTCAATGGGATTACAAGCCTGGGTCACTGTTCCTGGCAGGAATCTTCCTTTCTAATTGGACCTCTTAACACAGGTGGTCTTTGGACCACCCATTGAGCGACTCTTGGAGGCCTTTCATAAATCAAGTTTCACTGTGTGTAGGGGTCGGGGCGTGGTTGATTCAGTATTTGGTTCTGTTGGAGGGTGGCCTGTCCAGCCTTCCCACCTCTATTAGCTCCCTCAGGCAGCTCCCAAGAGGTGAGGAAGGGGGTCTGGAGAAGGCTGAAAATGGGGTGGTTTGTGGAGGGGGCTTCTCTACATGCCTGGTACTTCCTTGTCCCAGTCAAAAAAAGAAAATTGAGGCACCTCATACCTTCTCCTCGCTCTTCTTATCATGACATTCCTTTTACCATTGGGCTGGGGTCTAAAGGGACTAAGGGTCCTCATGTTGCCCGCCTTCAGCCCTGTCTGTACCTGCGCTGTGTGCCCATACCTGCTGCCCCAGCACCCCACGCCCACCTCAGCATCTTCATAGACTCCGTCCACCTAACACTTACCAAGCAAGACATGGTGCCAGGCTGCAGGAAGGGCATCAGGGCTAGAGAGGGGGGTGGCAGCTCCACCCTGAAAGGTGGGGCTAGTGGCTGGCTCCCCCCACATAAAGAAGCCATGTGCTGTGGGCGCTGAGATCTCTTAACCTCTCTGAACTGTGGATGGATGAGCCCAGCTGTCCCTTGCACTCTTTGGCAAGATTTACCACTCTGGGGCACTCAGGCCTCCCATGCTCCTCCATCTCCAGTGGGTGGGAGAGAGGCTGGAAGGGACCTTTGAGGAAGTACACCCTGACCTTCACACCCCAAGTTGTGCTGAGCCATCACCCTCAGCCCATGCCACCCTGTGCCCACAGGCTGCTTCGAGGAGACGCTGTGGTGGAGCTGGGTCTCAACGATTACCTAGACATCTTCTGCCCACACTATGAAAGCCCAGGGCCCCCGGAGGGCCCCGAGACCTTTGCTTTGTACATGGTGGACTGGCCTGGCTATAAGGCCTGCCGCGCAGAGGGGACGAACGCCTTCCAGCGCTGGAAGTGCTCACTGCCCTTTGCTCCCTTTGGCCCTGTTCGGTTCTCAGAGAAGATTCAGCGCTTCACACCCTTCTCCTTGGGCTTCGAGTTCCTGCCTGGAGAGACTTACTACTACATCTGTGAGTGACCAGGGGCACGCCGCGCACCCATTGGGAAAGCTGGGGAAAGGCCTAGGGCTCCCTGCCTTTGCTGCTGCCCAGGACTGAGTAGGGGGATAGAGTGCATCTGTAGCAAAGAGGAGAGATTTAGAGGAGCCAGGAAAGAAGGGGGTGCTAGGGAAACGCAAAATGGCATGGGTGGGGCTGCCACCTGAGTTTGGCACCAACGTCAGTGAAAGGTTTCCTGGGACAGGAGAGAGGGAGGCAGGAGGGTCGACAGCAGCCTAGGGCATGGGAAGGGCGATTCCCCGTGCTAACTCCTTTCCTCCAATTTCCCCCCAGCTGTGCCAACTCCCGAAAGTCCTGGCCAGTGCTTGAGGCTCCAGGTGTCTGTGTGCTGCAAGGAGGGCAGTAAGTGGGTGCGGGGGTGGGGAGCAACCTTCGGGCGAGGAGGGAAGGAGGGGGGAGAATCTAGGAGCATCAGGCTCTCAGGGATCCAGGTCCAGCTTCAAATTGTGACTTTTCCCCCCATGTTTAGCCCTGTGGGAGCTTCTGCTGCACCCCTTTTTTTAAGACTTTTTTTTTAGTCGTACGTAGATGGGCACACAATACCTTTATTTTATTTATTTATGTGGTGCTGAGGATCGAGGGCCTCATGCATGTGGGACAGTGCTCTACCACTGAGCCACAGCCCAGCCCTGCTGTACCCCTCTCTAAGCTGGGCTGCGGGAATGGGGTCTCCTGGGCAAGGCCGTAGCTGGACCGGTTGTCTTTAGTGGAGGAGACTTGGAAGGTGGAGAGACTACTGGTTGTCTTATTTGGGGGACACTTGGACTTGGATGTTGGGATTAGGAAGGATGAGGTGGTGAGTGGCTCATTGGGGTGCAGCGACTGGTTTGGAAGACTCTAGTGAACAGGTAATGGGAAGGTCAGAAGAGAGGCGGCTGAACAAGTGGGCCGACCCATCAGTGCCACCCCCTTCCTTACAGAGTCGGAGTCAGCCCATCCCGTTGGGAGCCCTGGAGAGAGTGGCACATCAGGGTGGCGAGGGGGACATGCTCCCAGCCCCCTCTGTCTCTTGCTGCTGTTGCTGCTCCCCATCCTCCGTCTCCTTCGAGTTCTGTGAGCCCCGTGGAGCCAGAGCCCTCCCAAGGCCCTCGGGGGCGGGTCCCTGCCACCTGCACTGGGGATGCCAAGCCAGACAGACACAATGGAGCATTGATGGAGAAAGTCAGAGGGTCTGAGGTGACCCCTGTGGCATGGGTGGGGCTGCCACCTGAGTTTGCCCACTAGTCACAGCTGGAGAAGAGCTGCAAAGGAGCTGCAGACAGCCCTGGGCACCCCAGAGGAGAGCGGGGACAAACAGGCCTCATCAGCTGCCTTGAGGATTCTCTCCCTCCATGAGAAGACTGGGATTTAGTGGGATGGAACCCTTGAGCCACCAGGGCCAAGGCAGAAGACCTGGGGACAGGTGGACTGCCGGCCCAGGGCAAAGGAAGAGCCCTGCTCTCTGTGCCCTTTAGGCTTCTTCCCTGGGGCAGCACCTTGCCGTCCCCAGGGGGTCACTCACTTGTCTTCCGTGAAGACGGACTTGTCATGAGGTTGAATTTCATGCCAGTTTGTATTTTTATAAAGTGTCTGGACCAAGCCTTCAATAAAGCACCCATCTTTCTGTTGCCCTCCCTAACCTGCTGCCCTCTGGCTCCTTCCCTGACCCCAAGACTCCTGCAGCATGTACTCTCAGCCTGGCTTGGCCTGACCTCCATGCCAGCTGTGCCCAGGCCATCTATGCCAGGCCTCAGTGGGCACCCCTCTGGGCAGTGTGGGTGAGTGCCAGCAGCAGCTGTGGAGCTTGGCACCCTCTTCTACCTCCCTAGCCGCTTCCTGGACTGAGGGGGCAGTGCTTCTGAAAGCCCACCCGCTTGGGGCACTACCCAAGCACTGGCAGCACCTAACAGGGTGCTGGGGCAAAAGCAAGGGGCCCAGTGAAAAGACAGCCCCCGGGTTTCAGGAGGCCTGGGTCCCTGCGAGCTGGGCGTCCCTCCCCCTCCCCAAGGGCACTCTGGGCGGTGCCTGGCCTAGAACTGGAAGGTGGGGTCAGATCAAAGCCTCCTTCCCCGGCGGCCTCTTTGTTCTTGGCTTTTATAAGGAGGAGGGGGTGGGGCTGAGGAGGGAGGGCCCCCTTTGCTCTCAGCCAACACGGTCTCTTCCCACCTCTGGCGGGCGAGGCTACGAACCCCGGAGCCCAGCCAGGCCCCTCTTTCTGAACGGTGCCCTGGGTGGAGGCAGGGGAAGGGGTGCCTTTCCCCTGCAGCTGTGCCGTACCCGCCCAGTGCCCCGCAGCCTCCTCTGGCGAGGTGCCGGCCCGCCTGGCACCCAGCCCGCGATCGATAGGTGGATGTTGTGCTGATTAGCTCGGCCGGGCTGCGGCAGCGAGAGGCGGCGTGTGAACACGGGGAGGAGGGAGCGGGAGGGCGCCGGGTCCCGACGCCGAGAGGCTGAGATTGCCCACCTCTCCCCCGCCCTCTGGCGCACCTGGGTCACACCTCGGTCCCCCTCTCCAAAGGGGCAGGGCCCTCTCCCCACCGCCTAGAGCCCGACTTTGCCAGTCCCCGTCACGTTCATTCCAGGGCTCTGGCTCAGGCCGAGGTGGGGGGCAGCACCGCCGACGGAGGAGACCCCTCCCCGCCTTCGAGGCCACTTTCAGAAAATGCTGCGTCTGTAGGTGCGTGTCCCTGCGTGGTTCTGTTATGGCCCTCACCCCAAACCTTGATCCCTAGCGGGGGCTGAGGCGCAGAGGAGAGGATGCAGCTGAGCTGAAGGAGCTATGGCCGGATCTTCTGGTTCTGGGTTCGAGTTCCTCTCTACCGTCAATCGCGAAGGTGTCAGTATGTTGCCATGGAAACCGACTATACTGATCCCCCCGCCCCTCACCAGAGAAACCAGCCCGTGCAGGCCAGGGAGGACCGGGCAGCAGCGCACACCCTGGTTCAAGACGGCGGGGGTCTCGGCCCGCTCCCTGCGGCCCCAGACACCCCGTCTTCGCGGATGGAGGCACGCGCGCTCCCGAGTCCCGCTGGCGCGCGGATCCGCCACTGATAAGAACGCATGTGCGAAAGACTCGGGGCCCAGTCGCCTTCGCCTGCACCCAGACCCACGCCCTCCGCCAGTCGGACGCGCACGCTTGACACGGGCACCCGCCCTCCCCGGCCGCCCGCTCTCTGCAGGTGCGAGGGCGGGTCCTGGGCGACCGCAGGAGCCGGGCTGGGGGCTCTCAAACCCAGCTCCTGCCGCGTGCGCTCGGGCCACGCCGGCCTCCTTCCATTCGCTCTCCTCTGAGTCCCGACCCTGCGTGGACGGCTGTCTCGGGCCGGCGCCCTCGCTCATGGGGCTCATGGCTCATGGGGCCGAGACTGGCTGAAGGCGCTGGGCACCGCGCCCTACCCACCAGAAATCCTCGAGGCATGTTCCAGGGCGCGGTTCCAGGAGTCTAGGCAGGCCTGCAAGTTTTGGGGCGTCACCGATCTCCCCTAAACTCAACGGCGTTAGACAGCTGAGGGTGGGGCCTTCAAATTGCTGGGCCTGCCCGAGTCTCTCGGAACAAGACTCAAAGACTCCACTCAGCCTCCCCTCGCCCTGTCTCCCTGGCCTGAGGCCTGCGAGCTCGGGTCGCTGCGACCTGGATCCTGCGCCACACTTTCCGGGGTCACAAATCGCCCCTTCCCTCTCAAGAGCAACCCTCTCCTTCTGTAACCCCTCCTGTTTTATTCCTTCTTTGCTCATTAGTGCACTCAGCACATTGTAAGTTCGTGGCCCGCCCATCTTTCAGCCTGGCTAGCTGGGGTCGTCGGGGGATCCCCAGCTGTGACGCAGTGGCAGAGGATGCACTTGGTATTCCAAATAGCCAATAGAATCCCGGGGCCTGGGGCATGAGGTCACCAGCCGTAGTGCCCATTGGTTCAGGCCTAGAAGCGAAGAGGGGGTCCCCATAGCAACCGACGGTGCGTCCGAGCGCATAACCTGGAGAGCGGTGGTTGCCCCAGCTGCTTGCTCAGCTTAGGTGGGTGGTTGGGTTGGGGCCAGGAAGCTGGGGTGGAGCGCAGCTTCCCAGGTCCAGCAGCCCAGCCCAACCAAGCCCTTATCTTTAGAGACCCTTTTTTCAGAAGTAATGGTCAGCGCCACTTAACCCAGAAAGGTTAGGAGAGGGTTACTGGCGGCAGCGTTGGGGTCCTGGGTGCAGAGCCGCTGCCACCACCGCTGCCACCAGGAATGTCAATTCCGAAATCCTTGTGTTCGTCTGCATATCGTCTGCATCTCATTTGCATTCTCTTCATTTAAGGTCAAATTGGGCAGACATCTCCACATCCCCAGCCCTGTCGGCTTGTCTCTTCCTGGAATCTATCCCTCGGTAGCTCTCTAATCTATTCCTCAGTTGTCTCACGCCATGCCCCACCCCTCCTCCCACTCTCCAATGTCTCCTAGAGGTGGGAGGGGGCAAAGCCTAGCTAAAGGAGAAAGGATAAGGAGCCTGCCTCCCCCTCTGGATGTTGGGTGACAGATGGGGAGTGTTGGTCTGTACTGCCTGGAGAGGAAATTGGCAAAGCAAGTGGTGGGGGGAGGTGCCCCAGCTGGGTTGAGGGTCTCCAGGGCCAAATCACCAACAGGCCTGGTGGGGTGCTGAAGCCAGGGATGCCTGGTTTCAGCAAGGGGCAGGCCTGCCCACCTGTCTGGTGCCAGAGCAGCTTCCTTCCTCCAATTAAACACTAATGAGGTGTTATTAACCCTTACCTTGCCTACCAGCCCTCAGGTGGGACTCCGATTCATAGATTCATAATTTCACACTGAGGGAAGAAGGGGGGAAAGAGGACCTTTGGAAAAGCTGAGAAACAGTGAGGTCAGGTACCTGGAGACAGGAAGGCAGGGCCAGAGGCATAGATCCCATCTGCTGGTTATCCTCTGGGGGCTTCTGGGGATTCGAGGAATGAGTGTCCGCTCTCCAAATTCATTTATTCTTTTGTTCATTGGCTCACAATTATTTAGTAAACACCTCACCTACTAACTAAATACTAGGTTGCATGTTAGATGTTGGAGATACACACTTGCATGAGACAAGATCCCTTCCCTTAAGTAATCATCAGAGACAAACTGGCCAATGAATACTGATAATGCCAAACACAAGTGCTAATAGAGAGCCACATACTATGAGGACACAGGGGAAATGGGCCATCAGAGAAGGCTTTGATTTTGAAGGATGAAATTATGGCAGGGAGATGTGTACAGCTAATAATATTTGTGAAATTGACACAGCATGGGGCCATGTGGACATGAGTTTTCAGGACTGTGGTGTCTACTTCCGCAGAGCTGTATGCTTGGCATCTGCATGTCTGTTTCTGAGTGGGTATGTACCTTCCCTGCATCTCTCTGTGTCTGGAATCCCTTCTTCTGAACACATATTGTGGTTTTGTTACAGATCAATGTTTGCCGTGAAGCTCTTGTGTAGATTGGCCTGAACCTGCCCAGCCCAGGGGAGGGGAAGTGGAAAACTGATGTTGGCTTCTTGGGAAGGGGTGGGCAGAAATATGTTCACACCTGGGGACCCAGATCCTACCTCCCCAAGTGGCAGCAGGCTGGCCAAGCAAGAGGCAAAACACGGGGCCTCAGGCTGCAGTGTGGTGAGTCTGGGTCACAGACCCCTCTGCCCTCGACTCCCCAGAGGAGAGATGAGGGTTACAGATACCAATCCCCACCAAGATCCCAGGCCCCCTCCCCCACCGGCTCCTGTCTGTGGAGGAGCAGGCCGGCTCAGACCTGTCTGCTGGCTCTCTCCTCCAGGCAGCGGATCCTTTCCAGGGGACACAGAGGGCTGGGGAATGCTAGGCCCTATTGGGAAGATTCCAGATACTCCACCCCAGCCCTCCAAGGCTGTCTCCAGCCTGGATTCTCCCCACCCACTCTGGGATGCCACCTTTCTGGGCTTTGCCCAGACATAGTCACCTTTGCCGGGGAAGCCCTTGACAGCGGGGAGCAGATGGGGGCCAGAGCTCCGCATTGAAGACCAGCTGGGGTGGGTCTGGTTTGGCTCAAAGACCTCAACTCCATTTCCCTCTTTCTCCTTAATAGCCACTTTCTAGAAAGTGAAATTCTGGATCTAGGGAGAGTTTTAGGGGTAAGGAAGAGGCTCTGGGTTCTGAGAAGGTAAAGGACCCCTTCTTCCACACTGTCAAGGAGAGGTCTTCATTTTTTTTTTTTAATAGTAACTTCCTTTTCCCCTCAGTCCATATAATCTTTTTCTACTTCCCAAGCATGAAGTCCCCTCTCCTCCTGTGGTAGCTGTTAAGGAAGCTTGGAACGGAGGGGGAACAAATGGAAGAGAGAGTCTGTGACAGGTCCAAGTAGGCAGAGCTAGGAGATAACTCTTTTTGGAAGAGGGTGCTGGGGATTGGACCCAGGAGCACTCTACCCCTGAGCCACATCCCCAGCCCTTTTCATTTTTTATTTTGAGACAGGGTCTTGCTAAATTGCTGAGGCTGGCCTCGAACTTGTGATCCTCCTGCTTCAGCCTCCCAATTTCCTGGGATTACAGGCATGCCACTACGCAAGGCAGGAGTTAACTTTGTGTGTGTGGTTTGGGGGATTGAACTCAAGGTCCTGCATGTGCGAGGCAAGTGCTCTACCACTGAGCTACAT